CCTGACACTTCAAGGTCGATACAGCTGAAATGTTGTATGAATGATCCAGCTATGTCTTATCAACATCTGATGTTGTGTGTGTAGTGACCGTCAAAAGATCCAAGTTTGTTTGAGGCATCACTATTTGCACACAATGTTTGAGGCATCACTATTTGCACACAATGTCTGAGGCATCACTATTTGCACACAATGTTTGAGGCATCACTATTTGCACACAATGTTTGAGGCATCACTATTTGCACACAATGTTTGAGGCATCACTATTTGCACACAATGTTTGAGGCATCACTATTTGCACACAATGTCTGAGGCATCACTATTTGCACACAATGTCTGAGGCATCACTATTTGCACACAATGTTTGAGGCATCACTATTTGCACACAACATTTTTGCCCTACAGGTTACACACAACCAAATGTTTTCCCATAGACTTCTATTGTAACGTTATGATTTTTTTTTAAATAACTAAGCATTCAACAGGTATTACCTGTATGTGTGTGCACAGTTTGGCCTTAGAGCAGCAATAAAAAAAATAAAAATGACTAGCTTAGTCAGCTCCTTTTCCGAGTACCGGAAGCTAAACACACCACCCCAAGTTTCCCCTTAAATGTCACCTACTTGAAAATAGCTGTGGTCACATTCAGCATAAGTCATCATGTTGAAAAAGACAGTACTAAATAAAGAAAAACATGGTCAGTTTTAATAACTGGATGGATGTACATTTGAAAGACATAAAAATCTTACAGAATATGCTCCAATCACAGCCTGCAGATATCTCTCGATCTACACTGAAGGCTCCCTACGAAAACCGCACTGTCCAAACTGGTTCTGACTTGGTGTAGTAGAACCTAAACCATGTTGCACAAGAACTGTTTTACTTTCTCAAAGATTCTTTTTCACCAAGTTTTCTCTAACATAATATAGATATTTATACCAAAATAGGGCTTGATGTGTAATATAACTGTCACTATTATAAGAAATTTGCTTGCATTGGCATATTTCTTTTTGAATTTGATATATGACAAAGGCTGACTTAAGCCCTCCAGTGTGCAGCCATTTTGATATACCGTGATGATCACTTTACAAACGTGGGCTTGTGTAGAAATGATCTGTGCTGAGAGCTGTTTTCACAAACGCATGTCTGGTTTAGAACACACACATGCCCATGCACATGCACATGCACATGCACATCATGCAGTATATACAATTTGAATCTTAAAGTCGTTGTGGCGACTCTTAGGTATTTGAATTGGTCTTTGGCAACCTTTGCTTGTTGTAAGAGGCAAATAACAGTTGTCGGTTGGACAGACTCGCTGACTTGCAAGGTTCATACAGACTTGAAAAGTCCTTGAATTTTAACTCTTTCAACACTGCAGGCCGGGACACTAGCCACAAGTCATGAGTCCCCAGACACCACCGGCCAAGCCATAGCTTGTCATATTAATATATAATTGTATGAACTTACCTGTCATATAATTTATTTATTAAATCTATCACGTTTCACAATGTCTGAAATACATATTTCATTTAAATTTATCATATTTTATCGACAGATTAAAAATGTATTCACTATGTTATCGTAAAAATAGAACTTCAAAGAACAAAATAAAGACATTTCAAGCAAATATTTAAAATAATTCTGTAAAGTAATAAATAAAGTCAAGAAAAATATATGTGACAGTTGTCAAACTTACATCTGAGTTATTATTTCCATCTGTTCATGTGATCAAATTTAATGTAAGTCAAATGACACCTCAGTTTTCATTGCCTCGTTTTCTAGGCCTGGGACAAGATGTTCAATTCCAAAACTTCAGGGGAGGTTAACGTCATATTTGTGATGCCATAAGTTTTCTAATGATACCAGACATTGAAGAAATCGACGCACATGTTATTCATACGAACCTTTGAAAACAGAGGTATTTTCCCAGTATTTCTTCATGTTACTGAGCAGACAGCCACTGTTATCAGGAAATGGGGGGAGACAGATAATATTTAAAATTCTTTTTTAAATAATTTTCCAATTACTTATACAATGAAAATAAAAAAAAGAATTTTGACAAGCAGATAACTTCCTTGATAAATGTAGGCTTCATCTATCATCTCAGAATCTCTGGGAATTCAGTGTCACAGCAGTAAAGCTACAGGTTGACTTCTGTAAAGCCATGGTCAGTCCTCAGTGAGTGTCATTATTGGTCACAGTGTCAGAGGCCCATGAAGACCCAGGTAAAATAGGTCTTCAGCAACCCATGTTTGCCGTAAGAGGTCATTACATGATCAGGTGGTCAGGCTTGATGACTTGGTTAATGCATGTCATCGATCCCAATTGCATGGATCGATGCTCATATTGTCAATCACTGGATTGTCTTGGCCAGACTTGATTATTTACAGACCGCCGTCATATAGCTGTAATATTGCTGAGTGCGGAGTTAAACAACAAACAAACAAACAAACAAACAAACAAAACAGTGTCAGGATTGGTTCAGTCCACAGTGTCAGGATTGGTTCAGTCCACCATGTCAGGATTGGTTCAGTCAACAGTGTCAGGATTGGTTCAGTCCACAGTGTCAGGATTGGTTCAGTTAATGTCCATGTTAAACCCAACTCACTTACTCAAATACCCACCCACTGTATCTGTGGGATTGTTCTTGGTGAAGTTACCAACACCAGGTTAAATGAAGCATTGTTTGATGACAATATGTTACTAACAGTATGTTGCAAGAGTTGTGACATTTAACATGTAACTGATTATGTTTCATGCAAATGGAATTCAAGTAAGATGAAAACACTTTCCGTTTTCAGTTAAATTTTCCAGATGTTGTCCATGTCATTAAAAACCATCTTTGGAAACATGTTTTGTAACCGGTTAGTTTGTATTTGAAAATGATCCGCCCCACTCCCAGTGCGTATCTAGGCAAGCCTTTTGTCCCATATTTCTTCCTTCTCCGACTTCACAACCACTATCAGTGAAACTTTGTATTAGCTTCGATTTTCTTCCTTGTCAAGATTAATATGAAATGTCAAAGGGGGACTGGAATCAGATGAAGATTAATACAATTTGTTGACTGAAGTGCTTCTGACTATCGGCAATATGAGAAATACACGTGTAGATTTACCAGTCACTAACATCATGTTGTAGGAAGACAGTTCTTTCTTTAAGCATGCACATATGAAGTTTACTCTTCCACTGTATGGGCGAGAAGGGAAGCTTTGGGGGCCTTGGGGCTTTTTGTTATTTTATATCGCTCAGCATGATCGAAGTGTTTCAGCAGCATTGCTGTGTCATAAAATATGTATCTTATAACCTAAACTACCATATTTTCTTGAGAATAGTTCTCATTCAAGCATTATGCACACCTCCCAATAGAGGATGCAGTATTTGGGAATAAAAAGATTGGGGGGGGAATTAGAGCAGTCAAAACCTACATGGTATTGCTTCTGGTAAACAATAGGAGGTAACAAACTTTGTCAATGAAAATGTGAAATTTGCAGTAATACATCACCAGACATGATGGTTTAACATTTCTGTTATATTTCATGTTCTGCTTGACATTGTTTTGTATGCAGATATTAAATTTTTTATGTGGATTTGTCACCCACTTCGCAGCTTTACACACGTTCTCCCTGATCTATTGATGATTCAGTTAAAAGATACCCAAAAATAAAACTTAAAAACATTTTGATGCAATTATCGGAAGAAATTGTATATGAAACTATTATTTTACTGGGAATAATATATTCCAGTATTGTGTTATGTTGGTTAAAGATTCTGTATATGTATTAAAAACACAATAGTAACTGAAGCACTTTGGTATATTGCTGGATATATTTAACGTTTAGAAAATATGGGTTGGGATTTTGTATTGAGCTACAGCAAAACCTGATATTGTATAAATGAAATTTCTTTTCTTCAAAACACATTACAGCAATGTAATTTTGGTGGCAGGCAATTTTTTTTCCCCCAACAATATGAAGCATAAAAACAATAAAAATCCCTCCTGCAATACATTCACAATAGTGCAAATAGCCCCAAAAGTCACAACAGTAATATTTGCATCTTCCAACATGTATTGTTGCAGTTTATATATATATACGAGTCTTGCAGTCACATATATGAAAAGTTCAGCTCTGATCGAGAGCATTACTATTTCTGCATGATTAACAGTTATGGCTTGTGAAATGTCATACCATGCACATTGTCTGAATATGGCTGTTCTAATGACTACAGAGAAGTGTTTTTGTTAAACAATATCTTGAATGGTTACCTAATGGTTTCCAGACCTTGGTGTCAAGTGAATATGTACTACAAACAAGTTCAAGAACGCACGCAATTGGAAGGCTGTATGTTGCAATACCAACCAGCAATTACAGATTAACTGTAGTCATGTGAAAAACTAAGGTGGTCTTTAACTTCTTTTGAGTAGTATAGTACTTGCTGATGATTGTAATAAGTACCAGGGTACAAAACAAACTCAGTGCTGTGATGATCGTACGTCTATGTAAAGTATGGGAGTTACGATCCCCTTAGCGCTAAGATCACTTTCTACAATGGCACCCTGGTATAAGTCTAAGCAGCGTGTGCCTTTTAAAACTCTCCACAAGGCTGTATGACAAGAGGGATGACTTCAACTTTCCAATTGTCAAGTTTCCCTATGTCAAGCTAAGTACAAAGTGAGAGAGAGTGGTCCCACGTGTCCCAAAGAATCGTTCCACGAGCAGAGGGAAAGGAATGAGCTTCTTAACAAACAACTTCCCATAAACAATAGGTTCTCTCCCATCACCAAAGGTAACAAATTTGCAACAATTACATGTTTCAATATCAATCACCAGATTGTCAGGTCCAGACTCGATTAGTTTCAGACTGCCATCATATGGCTGGAATATTGCTAAGTGTGGTGTTAAACAACAAACAAACAAACAAAAATTGTTTCAAACTATGTTTTTTCATTCTTCAACTTGATGGGTAGTGTGATATTGATGTTTCTGATTGTTATTTTTCAGTACCCCTCACCTGAGTGGGACACAGTTACTCCTGAGGCCAAGAACCTCATCAACAGTATGCTCACTGTCAACCCAGCCAAGAGGATCACAGCCTCGGAGGCCCTCAAACACCCCTGGATATGCGTGAGTACATTTTTCATTTGCATCATTGTTCACTGCTGGGGGAAGTTGTCAGGGCATTTATTACTTCTTCAAACTAGTTTCAAAGTAATTTGACCCATTTGGGTGTTTTTTGGTTGTAAATATGACTAACAATTCTGGCAGTTAGTTTTGCATCCAATTTTGGGTCTTACTTATAAATAAGATGACCCTTATGAATAGACCATGGTTCCACAGTGGCTGACCGATTCCTTCCTCACACACAAGTGGTGTACTGACCATGCATTGATGAGTGTTGGACCTTGTGTTCCATGCAGATATAGTGACACTCAGGTTATTTGTGTGCATTGCCTCCGTGGTTGTGGTTGAGCGTCCATCTGGAGAGCCGAAGGTCCGGGATTCGATCCCTGGCCTCGTCATACCAAAAGACATTAAAAGATGGTACTTGTTACCCTGTCTGGCGCTCAGCATTAAGGGGCTAAAAAAAGGACTGGTTGGCTCGGAGTCAGTATACTGTGTGTCTGAGTGGGGTATTCATGATAAACTGCAGCATGGTATCTCAGTGAGCTAGCACTATAAATCAGCATCAGACCGGACTAGTATGAGCAGCCATACACACACGTGCATGAACGTCACCATATAAGTGCAATAATATTGGATGCGATGTTAAACCCCATTTCACCTCACCTATTTGTGAGCAGTGGATACAAATAATGTTGAAACATGTCTTTTGTTAGTCTGAATAGAATGAATTACTGTTAATGATGTTTAAAAAAATAGAACACTGTTTGATGCAAATATGGAAAATATAGGCTTTGTCACTCTGAAATCAGTCACCTAGAAAAGATAAAATATAAATTGGTTGGATAGGCATTGATGGCATTTTAGAATTACGTGAAAATATGGAATTATATCTGAACATCTTTAAGTCCTTGTTCTTAGTCATATGACCTGCTAGGAGGGGGTTGACGTATGAACAGGGCCTTGTATATGGATCTCATTAGGTAACTAGTATATTATAACAAAACATTTGTAGGCCTTAAATTTGTAGGATTAGAATGAATTGAAACATTCCTGTAGAATTCATTACTATTTGAGGATAAACGTAACTTTAATGAGGATATTTTATTAAAGTAAATTTGAGTGTTTGGCTTTCATTAGATGACTGGGAATTACGGACCCCTTTTTGATGGCCAGCCAAAACCTTTTAGTTCAAATATTTATGCATAAATGCTCGTTCCAGTTATATTCGAAATTGGCAAGAATGTATGCGTCATTTCTCATTTCTCATTTTGAAAATGCAAGTAGACTTTTCACTTGTTAGTAAGTTGTATACTCTCTAAAGCACAAACATTGATCATATTACAAGCATCATACTCCAAATGCCAAACGGCTATACGTCGACATGTATTTAGATATTTCCCAAAGTTATCCCGAATTTCATTTAAGCCAAGGTATATAGATAACACAGTGACTAATATCCCTGCCACAATTGTAATGGTTAATCAAATAAGTGATATTTTCATTGTCGCCCCCACTTTTCTATTTTAGTTGGATGTATCAGATCACAGAATGCGTGAACAGACTGTATCTACATCAGTCACGACAGTAGAATTACATATTCTTCGTTCACCTGTGGTGATCACTTGATGTATTACCATCAACTGAATTTAGTCCCTGGATGTTGTTCTGCTTGCTCTCGTTCAGTTACTCTGTGCTCTGATAGGTTGTATGGACATTCTTGAAATTGCAACTTAGTATGAAGACTGTTTGAGGACAGGATGAAGGTGGCACTAGAGAAATCCTCAAAAAATGTGATTTACTTTTGATGCATGTCATTGATGTCATCGAGGTTGTTGGCATTACTGATGGATTATGTCATGGTCACAGTTATATAAGTGTTATGGTGCCATCAACCTATCTATGATGGACCATTTCATTGTTTAGAATTTATTTTTTTCATTTTGTTATTACTTTAAATTTTATGCTTGTTAATATAAATTGTTCAATATGAAATGTGTATTTTTTTGTAAAGGATTATCTTCCGCATTGCATGTTTGGCCTTTTCATATATTGTTTCGATTTGGTCATACTATTCCATTTTTTTAATTGAAAATTTGAGTAATGGTAGTTGTATCAGTGTTTCATAAATTTTGGAAAGAGTGAAAACTGAAACACCCAATAAATTAATACTGTTTGCTTCAATTATTGTTTCTTATTTTCAGCAACGGGAACGTGTGGCATCTGTTGTCCACAGACAGGAGACAGTGGACTGCCTCAAGAAATTCAATGCTCGCAGGAAGTTGAAGGTAGGCCATTGTACCTTGTATATACCTTGTACATTACATTTGACTGCCTAAAACAAAGTTAAGCATTATGAACTATGACTGTCAATACTGAGCTGTTATTATGGGAAGTATCTACCTAGTGTTTCTTGAAGTCTAACTATGTGCACAAATTGTTTATTTTTACTGATCGATACAATCTTGTTAAAATCGGATCTTATACTGTGATACAATACCTGTCTGCATCAAGATCTGAGTACATCTCCAGAGGATGTAACGGCAAGTGAACCCGGAACGAACTTTGGCCATCTGATAATTTCAAGGATGAGTCGGTTCTCGAGCCAATCAGATGACAGCTTTCTATTACAACTCGGCTTAATTTCTTTTAATTGCCCAGATTGGAAATTTCTGTCTCTGCCAAAGAAACTGCCACAGAACACAATTTACTGCTCTTATTATCCCTTGATGCCATGATGCAGAATGTATGAAAGAACAACACTATAACAGAGTGGCCATATTCATGCACTCTCAGATTTAATATATTCCTTTTCAAGATAGTGAAATCAGATATGTTTGTCTGAATGCTTTGCTCATCTTTACCGAGAATTTAGAAGCCTAGACACTGATTGGCTAATTAGAAAATTCACTTTTCATGACCATGTATGGAGGTTTCCTCAGATTTTCAGATAGGTATCAGTCAAAGATCTGGTGTTTAATGAGAATGTTGATTGACATAAGTTCATATGATGGCATTTAATTTTTAGGCCAATGATTTTAACATGATTATATATATATTATCTTGTCTACTTCTTGTCCTACTATTTCCCAGCATAGGGCCAGTATGACTGACTGAGGACCTGTAACAAGGCCAATATGAAAAAACACATATAATAACAGCATATTAACCATGTTAATAAATATTATTGTACAGCTCATCTTAATGCTAGCACATTATTATAACTGAATAATTGTTCTAATGAACATCTTAAATATCCCTATGGCTCTAAAATTGGGCCGCCTCCGTGGTCAAGTGGTAGAGTGTCCGCGTCATACCAAAATGTCAAGAGATGGTACTTGTTGTTACCTGCCTGACTCTTGGCATTTAGGGGCTAAGACAAGAACTGGTCGGCTCAGAGTCAGTATACTGTGTCTGAGTGGGGTATTCATGTAAACTGCAGCATGGTGTCTCAGTGGGCTAGCTCTATATAATCGGCATTAGTCCAGACTAGTACAAGACGCCACACACACACATACACGGATAAACAAGTTTAGCCCTGTTGACCAGCAGATGTATCGTCAGTGAATAGATTGATAAACAAGTTTAACCCTGTGGACCAGCAGAATGTATCGTCAATAAATAGACATAATATATGGCGACCAGTGAAGATCCAGGGTAGAATAGGTCTTCAGCAACTCATGCTTGCCGTAAAAGGCGACTATGCTTGTCGTAAGAAGCGACTAATGTGATCGGGTGGTCAGGCTCGCTGACTTGGTTGATGCATGTCATCGATCCAAATTGCCCAGATCGATGCTCATGATATTTATCACTGGATTGTCTGATCCAGACTCAATTATTAACAGACCACCATCATACAGCTGGAATATTGCTGTGTGCGGCATTAAACAACCAACCAACCATAACATATGGTAGTGGCTGGAAGCATGAAGATAAGAACACTTCAGATGAGTTTTTTGTATTACAGTTATACCTACATGTAAAATGTAAGGGTCACCCCAGACATGTAGGACCTCTCCCATAGTATATACCGTATATCGCTGTGTTTAAGGCGACCCCACGTATAAGACGACCCCCCTGTACAAGCCTTCAAAATCAACCCAAAATCCTATACTCCGTGTATAAGGCGACCTGGAATGAAGCACATCACAAGTGCGCACACAAACCTTATATATGCAATAAAAATATGTTTATCTTGCGTTGTTTTTTCTACGATGATTGGTCGCGTGTGTAACTCCAGCACATGTTGCCATTTTGTGTTTACACGGTACGACACCAAATTGGTGCCCGTAAAATAAAATTCATTTATGAAGTAATAACATATAAGAGACAATGGTGAGTAATTTAATCGCCAATTAACTATTTTGTAACTAACTAGGCTTATATTTGCTTCACATTCAGCGTGTTTATTCCACAACCACTTGTTCACACTGTCTCCAACAGTTGTTAATACAACTGTAAAAACAGCGGGAATTGATTTCAGCTTCACCGGTTATCACATGTTAGGTCACATGTGCAATATGCAAATGCGTACCAGTACTTCCTGCTCTCTACTCACGGTTGTTGATTGTTTTACCGTGTCAGCTGGTTTCACAATCTGCATCGAGGCGAGGGTCATTTCAACTTTATTTGCAGAAATTATTGAACTTTATTCAAGGAAAAGAGATACAAATCATGTATATGTATGGAAATAGTTATTGGAACAGTTATTTAGGACGAAATGCGAAGTTTTATTGTCAAATGCTGGGCTGGCTATCGGACGCCGGTTGACATCGCCAGTGGAAAAAAATGTGAGACCTTCGACTCCGTGTATAAGACGACCCCCCTTCTTAACCCCCTCATTTTAGGTACGAAAAACTCGCCTTATACACAGCGATATACGGTATAAGTTCATGGCTCTATACTTTCAATTAAAATTGCTAAAAATAAAATTAAAATAAATAAAACTTGATCAGATCATGAGAAGCAGTAGGCTGTCCCTTACTGCCTAATTCCACACTTTTTCATAATGGACAGACATTTGGAGGACGGAGTCGAGATACTGATGATGGTAGGAATTTGATATACCACTAGAGGCTTTTACTTGTGGTATTGATGTCCGTGTTTGTTGTCAAGTACTGATGGAGTTCAAAACACTGTCTACATGAAATTTTATTATGCCTTGAAAACTGATTTCCTATTTTACATCAGAGAAGCTGATATAAGTATGACTTTGTATCTTAACACCTACACGTGTGATTGTAACCTGCTGTCTGAAAGCATAGCCACACACTGAAGATAGGAGTGAGTGAGGGTGTCCGCTGCTTTTATAACATTCCAGCAATATCATGGCAGGGGACACCAGAAATGTTGCTAAATAATAAGGTTTGAAAAAGAGAAGTGTCAATAAAACATCCACCATATTGCAGGAGTTAGGTTGTGTTTATAACACAGGGCAAAGGTCAGTTTCCCAGATGATTCCAATGTCGTGGACGCTTTCTGCAGTGTTACTGAAATATTGCTAAAAACATAAAATGTCTCAGTGTGTGAAGAATGCTAAGTCAAGGTACGACTATACAGTATGTTTTAGTGGCATGCTGTTTTGATTCAATACTTATCAATCTTTTAATACTCATGCCTAAATTCAATTTGTTTCCTAATTATTTAACAGTGTTAAATGTTTCATGTCAGTTCAACATGGATACATATAATTCAATCTGGTATTTTGAAAGCAGTGGAACTTTGATTTTAATCATTAAATATCTCAGACAGTTTTGTTTTTAAAGAAATGTTTTGATGTGAATCAATAAAAATATGCAGTCATTTGTGTCCTGAAAATGATCCTAACCTTCACCAGCTGAAGCTTATTTCGATAACAATCCTTTAACTCCATGTGCATTTGTGGATTTGTCTGTCAGCCCCTTGGGGGATGTATGTTCGAGATTCACATATGCCAGAACATTTGCTTCTCATTTGATAAGAATCATGTAACATACAGGCAAACAGTGAAAACAGAAACTAGTAATCTCTGGTTGGTTGCCATTAATGTTGCTATGGTAACACATGAAAACTGATGACCCTAATCAAAGGAAAGGTAATAAAAAGATGATACGTTAGCTTCCCGGGGAGACAGTTTGACTGTGCTCAGATTACAGGGAATACATGTTGTAGCCAGTTTGGTAATGCCAAGTTTTGTGTCGTCTCTGCACAATCACTGCTGCATTTCAACATCGAAATAAAACGAAACACGATCCTCCCCATACAAGATTACAGTTTAAGAGTAATGGATAGAAATATCAAGGCCTTACCTTTTGAAAAAGAGGGGTGTTTTTGGGGGGGTGATCAGTTACCTCTCAGAGTTTTGGCTCAAAATTGTCCTTTTTTATTCTCTTTTGGGGGTGAACAACAGGGAAAAAACCATTGAAATTGTTGGATTATTTTGTTAAGTGAAAGCTACAAAGTATGAAAGTCTTGTCAAAATTTGGATCGTGACAAAATAATCCCACTGAAATTGTTTTTGATTTGTGAACACATGCTCATGATATAGTCAGAATTGTACAATCAGTTCTGCTTTTGGCAGAGATTTCTTATGAATATTGGATGGGTTTTGTAGCTTTTATTTAGAAAAGTGAATAGTTAGAGAATATTTAAGCTACAAGTAATTGGATTGTCTGTCGCTGGTGACTGAAAGGTGTCAACCCTTTATAAGGGACTTTCTGCATTCATTCTCAAAGGAAAGTACCCATGAAGATCCAGGGTAGAATAGGTCTTCAGAAACCATGCTTGCTGTAAAAGGCAACTATGCTTGTCTTAAGTGACAACTAATGTGACCGGGTGGTCAGGCTCGGTGACTTGGTTGATGCATGCAAGGCCGTAGTTAACTTTTTTTGACGGGGGGGCAAATATTTGTTCAAATATCACTTGTCCCCAACTTGATTCAAATAAAGCTGTTTTCTATTAAAAATCTAGTGGGGCAACTGCCCCTCCCCACATCAGTCAACATGCGAAACGCTTTCTTGATGAGTCACCATATTAATGCTGAAATAATGCTAGAAAGTGTTGTAAAACATACTCTCTCCCTCACTGAATCAATCAGTTGGTATTTCATGTTATCCTTTCGGCCCATGCTTCTCACAGCCACAATGATGAAAGTACTACAATATACTATATAAGACGTCTGCGGTTATTTTCCTATTGATTTTTTATGAATATTTAAAGACAATTCAATTTAGTATAAGATGTATAAAACATGAACGTTTTGTAACAGAGAGGGCTTCAGAGCATATGTCTTTTGAAAATGTTTCCCAGATCATGTATGTTTGTTGAGTATTGTGTAATATTGTTTTAAGTAAAGCTTATTTATTTTAATTTTGTTTTAGTTATTTTAAATTACATGAAGGATACTGAGAATTTTAAAAGCATGTATTTTCTATATTGTATGTCATGATAAATGGCTAATTGTTAGTCTGTCTCTCAGACCCTAGAGAATAAATTAAAGGAGTCCCAAATCAAGTCTAGAATGATAGGGCTATATTGCCTCAGCTCTAGAAATTGAAAATTGCTCTGGGCTCCTTTTGGATTTTATCATTTATATTGGGTAGATATAAATTTTTAAATTTAAATAAGAGAACTTTATTTCTGGGACCAAATGTCAGTTCCCAACACTACTGGTGTGTGTGTGTGTGTGTGTTGGGGGGGGGGGGGGGGGGGGGAGGGAGGCAATAATGTTGAAATATAAAACATATAAGTGTGAAATGAAGGCCTACTGCTGTCCTGCCCTTGTGGGGCAGATATGTAGGAAGACTACTTCCTTCTGTGTATTCCGAGATAACCCAAGGTCAATGTGGCAGTAGCTGGGTCCTCGGTATAACGCTACCTTGTGTGTAGAAGCAATATGGATATAACTGTTATTTATGATAAGGTTCTTTTTTCAGGCAAGTCATACTTAAACCAAGAAGCAAAGGACCAGTGAACATTTTTATGCTCCTTTATGTTTTATGGCCGTCAGCTCTACGGCTTGTTCTGGACTGCATGAGTAGACCACAGCAAATTAGGCCTTATGCAAATTGGCATTTGTGTCAAAGATGATTGCCTTAACCATTTTAGACATATTTCATTTGTGAATTAGGTATTGAGTTTATTTCTCATGACAAGTGAGTGAGGGCCCCTGTTTGTTCCCTGTTTAGGGTGGGTAACTAGCTACATATGCTTGTCATACAAGGCAACTTAATGTATTAAGAGGCTCATTGATTGGTTTTATAGCGTGTGAACATATCCCAAAGGCATGCCTCATTGCCCATAATATCAATCACTGGATTGTGTGGTCCTGATTTTATTGTTTAAAGACTGCCATCATATGGCTGTAGTATTACGTTAATAAACCAATCAACATGAGGGAGGGACTCGTGCATTGACCAGACAACCAGTGGATGATCATCAGAGGAATTATATGTCCCTTGAGTTCGGTCTTCTGTAACCATGCTGAACTATATCCTGTAGTTACAGTATGTAGGTGTTCCATCAAATACAGTGCATAAACTATACAAACGCAACGAAATAATTGTGTTTTGTAAAAGTTCCAGCAATATTCCAGCAATATCACAGCGGGGGACACCAGAAATGGGCTTCACTCTTTGTACCCATGTCAGAAATCTTAACGCATGATGAGCAAACAATTTAACCAATGTTAATGTTAGATCACATTTACCTGTTAATTTTACAGAACATTAAGCACAAAGCAAGTATTTAATTTTTCCTTGCCTTATGGCAAGCGATAAATCAGTCTACAACCCATGAGTTTGCTGACTAAGATATAGAGATACTTATGCTGTTGTTATAAAGAAGACTGGAGGGAGATAACCTCCTTGCAGGCAACCCTATGGTGTAAGCTCAGTCTGTGTTCGACATGCTACAATGACTTTAATAGGAAGTGTACACTAATCATGGCAGGTGAAGGTGACCGTTGTAACAACTCCCTTTCATGACCCTCAAGCAAAAACATGTGTCCATTTGGGTGATGTGTGATACCAACAGTCTTACGTGAATTAGCGGACAATATGGAGACAACTAAGAAAGGAGAGACTATGGATCTGTGCACTGTACATGTTATGCAAGTTGGGTTGTCTTATGAAGATAATGATTATGAAGCATTATTTCATGAAGAAGAGGACATAATCGCTAATAGGTCACAGGAAGGCAGAACTGAAGAGGTACTCTGAGAACAAAGAGTTATTTGTGGACATTTTACGCTCACTACAGCCGCTCAAATAAGGGTGTTTGATAATATGACTATTTTCTGTTCAGTTGCTCACTGGTAATGCATTTTCCCATTTTATTACTGTGAGGTCACTCATACCTCGTAGTTGTGCATGGTATATTGAGTCATATTACATGGCTTTCTTTAATCATCTCTTGCCACTGACAGTTATGTCATATCATATGATTGAGGAAATGTTCATTTCATGTATCTTAAATGTTTTGAATGCTTAACTTTAATGAAATCATTGACATGTTAAGTACTTTTGTAATATTGAACTAAAACCTTCTTTCACTCAAATGACGTTGATCAATAATGATTAAATTAATGCAACATAGGGTCAGAACGGTTGATTTATGTGAGTTCCTTTGTATCCTGTAATAAACTTGTAGCTTTTGTTGATGTTTGATCCAAAGATATTGCGATAATAGGTAGCATAAAGTTTATTGTTGCTGTTGAACACCTTATTGATTAGTATTTGTTATGACAATGTCATGGTGGTTTCTTAGTGAAGCCAGCTCAGCTTGAAATGACGTCCAGCAGAAGGCTATATTGTTGCTATTTAGTCTGTATGACGTGACAAATGATATCACTCCTTCCCTGCTGCGGCCAATGTGTAAATAATTTCATATACCAATTAGAAAAGAACACATGATTGAAATGCTTATGTTCAACTTGTCCATGTTTATTTAATGCTGGTTGTAAACTGTATTTTTAATTCTTCAGGGAGCTATCCTCACTACTATGCTGGCTACACGGAACTTCTCAAGTAAGTGCAACTTGTTGGATACACTGTATTTGTTATTTGTTTGAGATGTATAGAAGGATCCCCATGAGATAGATGGAGATGAACTGTTGATCTGTGTACATCGGTGACATCTTCCATATTGGTCACTTTTATAATACTGTTGCAGTTATGTCTATCTGTAACTATGGTAACACAAATATTGTCTGCATTGTGTCTGTCTACTGGAGCTTTCACTTGCTTGTCCATTTCACGCTTAACAGTCCTTGTCAACTCGCATTTATGTCCTGAAAACTGGCAGGTAATTGAAGCCAATCAGCTTTCATTTTTGTAACCATGGTAGCTAGGTACACAATCAGAAACAACATATCTTGTGAAACAAAATGTTTAGGGACTGTATGTTACTTGCAAATTTATTAGATGATTTTTGTAACATTTAAGATAAAAGTCTGTGTGTATCAGTACATTCACTTAACATTGCTGGCATTTTTGTTAAGGCACTTTGATGGTAATTTAATAAAATTTGATTATAATTAATCCTTTTTGAAAACTTTATGTTGAGAAGTTGATTATGATAAATGATTTCTTCTACCCCATAATGATTATGTCACTAAATCATTACAGCAGGTCAAGCATGAGTAACAAATGCAGTCACTTAAAATCTGTATAAGACATGACAATCTCTGATACATGATATAATTCTTGTGCCTATTATTCTTGAAGCAAGTTGACTATGTCATATATTATATGTCATATATTACATCAAGTTGGGAAATATACAAACTATCCTTCAACTATGAAATAGTCCCTTAAAGTAAGATGTTTGGCAAGGTTGCAGTTTGTTATTAATACATATTGTGGAGCCTAACACAATGTAACATTCTTGCCATTCCGCCTTACACAATGTAACATTCGTGTCATTCAGCCTAACACAATGTAATATTCTTGTCATTTGGCCTTACACAATGCAACAGTCTTGTCATTCAGCCTAACACAATGTAATATTCTTGTCATTCTACCTAACACAATGCAACAGTCTTGTCATTCAGCCTAACACAATGTAATATTCTTGTCATTCTACCTAACACAATGTAACATTGTCATTCCACTAATAAAATGTAACATTCTTGTCATTCCACCTAACACATTGTAACATTCTTGTCATTCCACCTAACACATTATAACATTCTTGTCATTCCACCTAACACATTATAACATTCTTGTCATTTCACCTCACACAATGTAACATTCTTGTCATTCAACCTATATTAACACATTGTTATGTATGTCATTCAATCTTACACATTGTAGTATCATTGCCCTTCATTCTTACACATTGTAACATTGCATCATTCAGTCCACCACTTTGTAACATAATAACATTATCTATTGTAATATTTGTCATTTGGAACTCACTGCCACATATGTGTCAATCAGAGCTCATTGCAACATCTGTCATTCAGATAACTAGGTAATTTGTACTACCCCACTAACAAGTTCATCCTATTTAACCCAGCGCAGCCTCGTGTAACCTAGTGTAACCTAGAGTAACCTGTTAATGCATTGTTGTTAACCTCCTCATATGGTGTAGTCTAACGACCTTGGAATAGACCACAATCTAAATATTGGTGTCTTAACAGTTGTCAGGAACAAGCTATAAAGTCCTTCTCACCACCCTTAGGTGTCCTTGTGTAGCAGCTTTCACATGGATACTTTCTCAAGTAATAAAACAATGGCGTTTTCATTTTGCTTTTTCATGATTAAAACAAATCAATCTATTTGAATACTTGCAAATAATGACAAAGTCATTGCCTTCTTATGACATACAATAGAACTAAAGAAATTAGTTGATAGTTGTGTCATCAGGCTTGTCATGCCTGATTAAAACAGCTTTTGTTCTCAAACATTTTGTGTATTTAGCTGCATTCTTTTGATGTAATGTTTTGAACAAAATTTAATTATTTGGCCTTCATAATTTTTTCTTTTTTTAGTAAAATAGCAGTCATGGGATCATTTTATTTAATAAATGTGATGAAACTATGAAATGATGAACTTGAAGAACTAAAATCTGTAAGTTATGAAAGACGTCAACTAAAGAATTTGTATAGTCTCCGTCTGTATGTGTGCGTGTGGTATGAGATATGAAACAAGGAAGTTGCGAGTAGGATCGAATAGTCCATTTTTGGCTTGTGACTTAAACATTGGGATAAGATAAGAGTACATAAGGCCATGTACAATTGCTTTTATTTCTCATGAACATAGTTTTCTAAGTTTTGTAAGCCAAGAATTATACAAATAAAAGCAACGTGAGTACAAATATGGCAGGTTTTTTGTAAGCTGAGCTAAACCTGGTTGTATATTAGTGTAACAGGTTTGAGTTGGGTACATTACTGTGACTTTGACATGATATGATACATGTAATAATAATAATATGGCAAAAGCTTAATAGTATGTGTGCTGTTATAATAGATGCTGTGACGAATGGCAGTGGCATGTCGCTTCTTAGTTCTCATGTAAAGAAGAAATAAGTACTGCGATGTAGAAGAAAGTAGGAACCCTGTGTTGCACTGCTAGATTTGTTGAAGCATCGTGGTTTGATAGGGTGGTTAGTCTGATTTCATATCTGCAGCTTGTCACTTAGAATCAGCTAGCAACCTAACTCTGAGTTGACAGCTGATACTTGCAGACCTAGTTATCTCCCTTCAACATGCTAAACATTTGAATTTGCCAGTACTGCATGCCTGCTGTAATTAACTGTCCGCCACATTGTGAAATCTCCATTGAAACCATGCTTAAACATGTGTAGCTATAAATATTGGTATATGTCACCTCACTTTCATCAGAGAGGTATGGTCAGATGTTGTGGATACCTTCATCTTTTCTCTTGAGCTGTCACCTGTCAGTTATACCTGGCTCCGGCTCTGGCTCCGACTCTGGCTCCGACTCTGGCTCTGCTATATATGTGATACATGTGTACTGCACAAGTAATATTGTGTCTGTCATATTTTCATGTTATATTGCAATATAATGAGTTGATCTTGACAAACTTTCTCTGAAGTGCAGCACAGATATTCTATGGTGTGCTTATGTGTGTAATACCATGCCGTACTACACGTAATCTTCACTTTGGCTTCACTGGTATGAATGTATTTAATGATATACGTATCTCACGACTACTCTATAGCTTCTGTTGATTGGTCAGCATGGTCTGGCGCCAGTGTAGATAATGTGTACTCTTGTTGTTTTTTTTGTGCTGTCTTTGTGTGCTGTAGTAAACAAAGGTAAGTCTTCTCACTCTGTGCATGAGCATGGCACCATAGATAGACTCTAGATGTCAACTGTCACCATAGCTATTCCAGATGAACTTTGACTTCACTCGACTCTAGTCGTATTGATCCAGGTCAACCTGAGAAAACCGCCGTGATATTGCTGGAATATTGCTAAAAATGGTGTTTAACCATACTCACTCAACCTGAGATAAAAACTGAATTTCAAAACAAGGATTATTTTCTCATGTCAAAGTAGTCAACAGTATCTATGTATGGCAGATCAGTTGCTAGACTTTCAGCATTGCATTTCTTCAATCTTTCTTCTAGTCATTTTATTTTCAGGGTGGTGTATTTTTTTCAGAATCTTCTTATTTTTAGTAAGCTTGTTTAAATAAGATTTGTCAGATCACTGTTCAATGCAGGTAATATTTTTTTCTTTCATCTGAAAGATATATCGGCATTTGCTGCAGAGATGGTTTAGTGTGTCATTTCCAGAGAATTATGATGCGAAAGTCTGTCAGTTTTCACATCTCTGTATCACGGTTGGTTGACAGATTCAGTTAATGGTTCGGCAAATAGCCATTATTGTTCCTGTGTCTAAGTATTGGATCATGATGACATCATCTGTGACTGATGATAAACAAGTGCCTTTACCACATGTCATCTTGTTCATTGATATATTGGACTTCAGGTAAATGTCAAATAAATAGACCAGTTGCATTCTTACATATCTGTCAGTGACATTTCATTATCTTATTGAACTTGTGATGCTCTCTGCCACATTCAGACAATGTCAGACCTTCTTCTCCCGTAACCAACAGGTAATAGGACTTCATTGTACACAATTTTCATGAAAATGAACCATAGAATGTCTAAAAATGATACTATTCATAATATTCTGAGTTTTTTTGTAACTCTACTCAGAAATGTAAGGTAATTATATCATATACCGAAGAGAACTTCGAAATAGATTAATGGGTTTTAATTAAGACTAGGTCGTGACAAAAGTAAGAACAGGTAACTCCGTACTAAATCCTGCAGCTCACTGAGTTGTGTCCCTTTGTTGTCAGGATCTGCTGATTATTGGTTCACACCCTAGATTCATCCTGATTGTTAGGTTTCATCTTTGTGCTAAACATCTGCAACCTGGGTAACTCTGAATTCCACAGAATGTCTTGATATGTCTTTGGTTTTCTTGAGCAACCCAACTTACTGAGTCACGCAATTTTGTGTGCGAGTTCCATTTAAATTCAATCTATTAAATGTTTCAACTTGGATTTTTTCTGAATTTTATTATTCATACTTGTAGAACTTGTGTACTGCATGTTTTCTTTGCATAACCTACCAGTTACTTTTATGACTTATTAATAGTTGTTTGTCTTACATTTTATCTCATTATGTTGTATATACAACGAGAACAACAGGTGTTCGATGGACTTGAAAGAAACATGTTTATATAGATCTATATATATAAAGAATCAACAAAGACAACACTGGAAAGTGTATCATGTAAAAAAGTATTTTGAGATAACAGTTTCAATAACTTTGACAATAGTATTCTTAAGCGACTAACTTTCACAAAAGTGTTGTATTCTTTCAAAACAATTTCAAATATCGTGTCATGAGCAGTTTATATTATTCATATGTTGTATATTTATTTTCTTTGATGAATATAGCAAGTGTTTTCTAGAAGCAGCTTCAGTATATCGTCCTAGTTTTCATGACAGTGATTCATGCAATCACATCTCCTTGTGTGCTCAGTCATATTAAATTGATAATCAAAATACATTATTTATTCAGAGTCATTAGCCTGAAAATTATTGAGACACTGGTAGAATTAATGACTTACAGGTCTACACAGTAAACACTCTATAAGTCTGTCACCAATATTTGTAATTAGGAGATGTTTTTTGTCATGATCCAACACAGGTGATATATCTCCATGGATGTTTATTGATACTATTTTCCTATTGACCTTTTTCACACTTTCGCCATCTTGGATGACAAGGCTTGGAGAGCATAGCTCCATGCAGTGTGAGTCGCATCCGCTCATAGGGAACAGACAGCATGTTGTGCATTTCACTGATAGACATTTCAAACAAACAAAAAATGGTATCCTCTGTATCTAATACAGAAGATATTGCACATTTAATCCTGAGGTCCAACTAAAATATGCCTGTAATACACTGGAATTAGCATTTTGCTGTCAGGTTCCCGGAAGTGAATCGAAAGGTGCATTTCGAGATACGTATTTCAGAAATAGATTGTTTTATCATAACCTCGTTGGCATATAGGTACAATGTGACAGTACATTCAATGACAGAAGTTTTGTATCGTAAATGAACCGCATATCATGAAACACATCAGTGTACTTTTGCAAATTTGCTCAGTCAATGCGTGGCTTGGCAAACTCGAGATCGTTGATCATGTTTATTTCATGTTTCATAGCGGTGTTTTGCTGCACAACGCACTATCGTTTTGCCATGAGTCCAGTTGACAAAAGAGACTTTTTCTGCTATGATTTTCATCTTAACATATTATGATGTAAATGAAATTAGTTCACAAAATAATTTGTGTGTCAAAATAAATATTCAGAAGGGGCGTTAACTCTATTCAGTGTGTACAATAACTCTATTCAGTGTGTACAATGACAGTTGATACTTTACTTGTTCTTCAAACATCACTTACTTAACTGATTATTGCGGATTGAGATTGAACCGTGCACGATTTCTCATATTTAACAAAGAAAAACAAACCGAAATTTTCATGTCTTTATTTCTCACAATATAAGTTTTCAAAACTTAACATGGACCGGGTGTCTTTGTCAATCCAAAGCACCTAATTAAATTCCAGGTGAAAATAATTTTCTTGCTTGTAAACAAATGGTACAATGTGCTTTTTTAGTGTCTAATAAATATTGACCATGTTGATTTGTGAGTGAATAAGGCTTTTCACTTCCTCGTCCTATTAAAGTGAAATGTGACAGGAAGCACATTTGTTGATTGAACGAACATGACTTTCACTTGACAGGACGCACATTGTAACCAAAGCTCCTCCAGACATCCGTCACCGGATACTAGTACTTCATTGTGTTGACTCGCCAGCCTGAAATGAATAATTCAATAATATTGTAATAATATTTCTACTTCAATAAAATTTTTTTATAAACAATGCATATTCACCTTCTCACCTTTCAGGAAAATTAATCACAGTGTGTAACATTACATGCTACATTAGAACAATTTTGAACTCAAACAGTATATTCTGTGTAAACAGTAAACTCAACAGATGCATCAATTTAATGACAGTGTACTACAGCTCTTTATATCAATGTCACACAGAAATTGTTGTTAACTCTTGTTTTAATGAAACACGTTTTGATATTTGTATTACCGGTATGTATTTAATCATGAAATACTTTGTTTAGTCTGACCATGCTGAAAATAAATAAGTGAAATAAATAAGATTTTTATTAAAATTGACAAGGAAAACAAAAATTTTCTTTGTATTTATATTTTTTTATAATTCTCGTTTTGATTGAATTATAAAAATGATCAAAATGATGACACCACTTGACTTGATTAAAATAAACTTATGTTTGAAAGACTGTTGACAATAGTAAAATATTACATCATAACAATATAATTATTGCAAAAGGTTACAATTTGATACATCATATCAACATATCAATTTAGATAGTTTCTGACATATATCTAGATATGGTCAAAAGGTTAATATTTCCGCTTCAAATACAACCCACAAAGTTATTTAAATTAACAATAAATAGTTTGGCTTAATGGTGTGTAAACAATGAATTATTCTTTACAAGATCTCAGTAGCATTTGTATTAAGTCTGTTCAGCTACCATAAACCGCACTGGGAGTTACCAGGTGGTCATGGATATTTTAAATTGAAATCCCCACAGAACGGCCAGACTCAAATTTATTTCAGTAGTAGTGTGAAAAAGGTCAATACATTTGTGTTGGTTGGTAAGAGAATTTTATGTAAACTTTGTAACATTTTCCTGAACACTCCTGTCGGAAACATTGGCCTTGAACCTTTGTTGGTAATATTTCCTATAAGCCTCTGGTAATACCTGACATAAATAATACATTCTTGAATGGATCGTATATACTTGTCAGTGGCTGATGCTTTGCTGCATTGTATCCATATATGCTGCATGTTTCATATTTTCTGACAGGTTGACCATAGCTAAAACTGTAATATACTTCTCTAAAGACGTTAAAGAACACCCAATTGTTTCATATGATTAACATTTATCATGACAGATTGATTATAATCATATGATAACACTGGGTGTTATTTTAATTTCTTTTGAGCAGGAAATATCAAAACATGATATCTGAGAATGAATTTTTGATGGAGTAAATCTAATCTCGAAGTGTGGTTAGATGGTCACAATTTGTCATGTTGAACATTAAAACTGGTTATCATTTATAAGACTTCATATGTTTTGTCTTCTATTCAATATGAAATATATTGTCATTGCAGAATATGTGACTATCAGTTTTATTAGTCAGCTGGTAGATAGTGTTTTGTATTACTTTAGTATATGCTTTATTTATTTCATATAATTGATGCTATACATATTGTGTTAAGCCACCAGTTTAAATAACTACCATATCTCTGATTACTGCCAAGCTGTGTAGACAATACTTATTCATTATTGTCAGTGTGAAGCATGCTAAAGTCCATTCTGCTGTATAATTACCTCAAGGTAAGCAATTTCCAAAATGGAAAGTTTTCACTTTTGAGTAATTAAATGTAATACATGTACTTCATAACAAATACTAAATGTAACAGACAAAACTATTATCAGTATTTTTTTTCTATGTATCATTAAAGTCTTGACTTATGACCTTAAATCATTCCATCAGATAAGGTCTCATAAATATGGTGTATTTCCTAGATTGTAACCACTTTGAACACACCACTTTCTTGCCACATGGATTTAGTGGCAGAATTTGTTGAATTTTTGTGCATGTTTACATTTAGACACTACAACCACTGAGTCATTTCATACAAAAGATGAATGTGAAGTTTTGAAGTGTTTACGTGTTATCTATAAGCGTTGTGGACTGTATGACTCAAATGATAACAAGACACAATTACAGTTATCTGTGTCAGTCACCATGTTCCGAAACAGCTCTGCACAAACTCCAGGTAATTCAACTACCCATGTTTATCTTTAACACTGCAGCTTTGTTACCCAATGAAACTATTGTTTTGCTGAGTACAACTTCTTCAGAAGCCTGGAAAAAAACTTTTGAGGACAATATGGGGGCATGTTTTTTCTTGGATTTTTATGTGTGAAAGTCAACCTCTAGGGTAATGTATGACAGAGGGATTCCATGTATTCTGTCAGATATGATTGTTATTGGGGGTTGAGGTAATTTGTGATTGTGATAGATTGGAATGTGAATCTGTCTCACTTGTGAATGAATAGTAGGACCATTCTGCTGATGCCAGTTCAATTTACATTTTCGTCCCTGTCTTGTGTTGTGATATTTTACTTTTTTGTATGTCTATCTGATTGACACTATGGTGGCATTTCCAGATGGTTTGTCATGAAGTCAAGGCCATATTTTGTACCGGTTATTCTAATAACCACATGGAAGTGATGTCCTTACATCTTGCCATAAGATTATTCAGTTCAATAAGTGATATGTAGTGTGAGTGCTGCTAATACTTGTTCAAAATATGTGTAGTATTGCATGTTAAAGTAGCAATGGTTAATCAAGTACATGTTGGCGTGTCGTGTTTCTGGAATCAGGTCAATACCTGACATTTTCACATTATTACTTCTTTTGAGCTTATCGGCTTCACGTATGGTTGTGTTGGACATTAATGTCTGCTAAGGTTTGGTGTCTTCAGTATATGTGTGCACTTCATGACATGTTACAAGGTGATGGGGCTACCGGGTTGGTAATGCATATGATTGCCATGCAGAAGTTCTGGGATTGATTACCACATGGGAACATTGCGTGGAACCATTCTTAGTGTCCCCCCATGTTGGAATATTGTTGAAAATGGTGTAAAACTATTCTCACTCACTCAATTACACTGATAGAAATATGATGTGGTGAACACTGTTACATGGTGGCCAGGGGTGGGAACCGCACACTGGATTATGTAGGCACATTTTACATGGATGGCAGTACCATATAACTAACAGGGTCGGTCTCCTAAGGCTGGTGACTTTGTTCATATTATGCCTTGGCTCACGCAGCAGTGAATAGGTACCCAGTAGGATATGAGATGGTAATGTAACTGTTAACTTTCTAGCACCTCACAGGCACCTTGGGTTGTATACTCCCCAGGGAGCTGAGAATGAAACTTGTGTGCAATCTGATCAGTTGACCTGGGGTGGTAATATAGCACTTTGGGCATGTCTTAGTGTGTGGATTTGGTACATTCAAAATATGCACAATGTTATTACATGGGGGACTGAGCTGTTTCAAGAGGAGTGGGGCTATATGCCATGAGACTGGCAACTTTTCTCAACCTGCAAAAATAGGGCTGGGCCGATGTTGAAGACAACTACAACATTACTATTCATTGCTGTTCTTTTTTATTTCGGCTTTAATGCAAAATGTGATGCCAGGATAGAATTGGTCCTCTCTGCGGGTCATAACGTAATTAGAGGCTATTTAGCGATGAGAAGGTCAGCTTTGTAGACTTGGATGTCTTGACCGATGCTCATAATATGAATCACAAAATTGTCTGGTGCAGACTCAATCATTTACAGGCTGACATCATATAGCTGGAATATTGCTGAGTGTGGCTTTATACAACAATGTTATGTTTTCAGTTCACAATGTTTTATAAAATATCAAATATGAAGCTTCATGGGGCTGAACTTGGCAGATATATGGCCCAAATATAGGTTTTATTTCAATTCACAACATGATCATATGGAGTTTCAGTGACTATGCAAATTTACTTTTGTTATTAAGTTTTATGATTTCTGTGTCGTTATGCTATTATGTCAGTGTATCATTGATTTGCTTGGACAGTGATCTGACTTTTGTTTGTCATTGCAAGGACATGTTTAGCAAAAGATCAAATTTTAAGAATGAATATTTTTCTAGTTCAATATACCAGCTTGATAATTTTGTGAACTATTTAGTGCTATAGGTGTCTTTCCTGCTTTGCCACCTAACATTCCTCATGTTGCAATAACCGTCCCCCCGGAATGCATGTCTTCTCATTGCACACCGAGACAATAACTGATTAACTGTAGTCCTCCAGAACACACTAGTTTCATAGACTTGTATTCAGTATACAATACCCAAAGCAGTAAATATATCTATATATTATTTACTAGACACAATATAAATAGGGCAACATAAATTTTAAAAAGTACTTTCATCTTCATTCTTGCTTTTCTTAAATTATTCTAAAAATTATATGGACCATTTTGTCACACTTTTCAGAAGTTATTCATAAATTCTTTGTGTTCTTATGTTCTGAGTTTGTGTGTTGTCATAATGTGTTCATACAGGTGTTTTTCAGTACAAACTTGGTATGGAAAACCATCATTCTGTATGGCTTTTCTTAGTCCAAAAGATTTGAAAATGCTTTTGAAGATGAAAGATAAAATATTAATTCTTTGATGATTTCACTTAGTTTGGTTGCTTACCTTGTGTTTATGGTGAGACAGGACCAAGCTTTCTACCAAGGTTCACTGAAAAACAAATGTCCCAATGTTTTGATTCTGTGTTGTAAATCACCTTATTGTATTTGTTATTCATTTGTTTATGCCAAATTTGTCTGAATATTTTAACCTTTTACATTTTGTCAACTAACTCACTTTGAAATTTCAATCTTTTTCAAATTATGTTTGTTATTTGGTATTTTACAATTTTGTTGATGATTATTTATTTATCATTTTTGAAAAGTTCCATTTTGCATGGTTTTATTAGACTAATTTGTGGGACCAAATGACCACACGAGAATACTTACGAAGGATGTCAATAACTCTGGTGCACAGTGATGATTATTTGATGGTGTGTTGTTTTGAGTGTTATGACATTTGTTGTTATAACACCTGTATGGTATACAACTGTATGTAGTGTAAAACGGCGTGTATTGCATGCATTGCATTAATTCTGCACGTGTTACACGTGGGAGACTGATGCACAGACTAATTTCATACATGCTGAGAACCAGAGCAGTCAGTAGACTGAGGCTGTTCCGTAATTGAGGGAATTGTCCTTTTCTTCTGAAAAACCATTTATTTGGTCATCGGAAATGTCAAAACAGTGTCATTACGAACAAACATTTTATCAGACTATTTTTGGCCAGTTTTGCTCTAAAAGAAACCTTGATTCCTCCCCAACTCCATCGTCAGTGTTGGTAGTCTTACTGATTGGCTGATTCTGTCAACTAGGTAATGTGCTTCAGACAGTGGGGAATGGCTCGCAAGTGATGGCACCTGCAGGTACGTTCGTCTGTCCGTGCGTGCGTGAGTCCATTTGTCATGGCCAAGTCACGCTGACATGTTGTGTGGCCCACTCGCACCAGACAAACCGCTAGCTGTGTACTCCTGTAGTCGTGTTGTATGTGTGGCACTCCACTGTCAATCAGAGCAACTGAATTACTACCTTCTCTTGACCAGTTTGCCTTTCCTGGATTGCTTACCCTTGCCCTTAGTAATGACCTTGACCTTTCAGGAATTGTGATGGACCTCGAAGACATTGTCACTAAAGAAAATTTGTTTTTGCATAACAGGAAATGCATGTTGTCTTAACATGGGGATATGAATGTGTGTAGTTTGTACTGAGGCATCTTTAACCTTGAGCTTTCACCTTGACCTGATTGTGACCTTGAACTTGACCTTTAGTGTCGGTGAGAAAGATGCTTGACATAGGTCTTGTTAAATTACTGTGATTCACTTGATTTCTGCTGAGGTTGACTTGTTCCCCAATTCTGCCTGCTGCCATATTCCCTAGTTGAAGTGCTCCACTGTTCACAGCCATCATCATTGAGGCAAGGAACTATAGTATCTTACTTTCAGCCCTCTCTTATCCTGATGGAGTTATTTTCAGCTTTTATAAATGCAATATTTCCTCAATTGTGCTCTGAAAATATAGGACCTGCTGTTGTATGAGAGCAGGATTGAACCAGGCATCAGGAACAGGTATGTAAGCTGCATCACAGACCCGGTTGGCCACAACACATAGTAGTCCCACCTGCTCTGCAATACTGAAGCTTCAGGTCAAACCATGGTTTCTCTGGATCAGTCTTTTCACAGCCAGTTTCAAGCAAATCAGGAACTGAACTAGAATTGCAAGAGGGATAACTTCTACTTCCCAATAGTCAACTTTCCCTTCATGTCAACTGCAGCCCTTGGTGTCTACGTTTCCCAACTCTTGAACTCTTGAAGTACAATCAAGCATGCTCTTTGTACAAAGATTTCAGAAATTGTTTGATCAAGATTACAACATTCAAGGCCTCAGTAAAGCTTTCAGAAAGTTGTATGGTAGACATGTGGAGGACATTCCAAATTTGCATCAGTGACAGGAATGATGTCTGAGGCAATTCCTTCTTTTGACAAACATGTGCTCCTGTCTTTATTTGTTGATACAGTTGACTTGCCTTTGCAAGTGTTTTTGACAGGTGTCACTGGTGGGGCAGGATACACTCATCTTTTTGCAAACACCTGGTATCATCACTATTTCAAAGCCTTTCATAAACACATGCTCATGATATAGTTGGAATCATACAATCGACTTGGTTTATGACTGAGATTTCTTATGAAAATGGAAAGGGTTTTGTCACCTTTGTTATTCAAGTAGGATGTTGTAGGCAATGGTAATGTGTGATATTAAGCAACAAACACATCTTTTTTATGCAAATTGTGTTATAGTGGCAGGTGCTAGAACATGAAATGCTTTCCATTTTTGTAAAAATCTGAGTGTCATCACTGGTTTTCATGATCTATTCACAAATGTTTTCACCACTATTTTGCCTATAACGCCCAAATGGAATCATTTAAGGCGGATAATCAAGACTGCTTATTCTCTAGATGACATTTTATATTTCACTTTTGCCATGTTTTGTTGTTTTCATAAGTAAGGCTTCTCTGTAATGTATTCCAAGTCTTTCTGAAGTGTTCGTACTTTCTTCTACCTATTGTAACTCTTGATCAGACAGTGTTGAACTTGGATCTTGTTTGTTGTTTGATACAGGAAAGATATGGTCATTTTTAGATTTTCTCCTTTGTGTTTCTTCAAAATTTGTGTCTTTATAAGTCAAGTCCTCTTCTATACATAAATATCTGAAGTTGTTTGACAGAATAGGAATCAACGCATCATTAATTGTCATTGTCTTCAGTTGATAAGAATTAAGCTCTTGAATTCATAACCCTGTCTCAAAATCCCTTCTTCCAAATGTCGGATATTTAATGGATACTGTTCTCAAATCATCAAAATTTAACATTTAGCTTACCTGCAAAGTATTATCACAACTTTTGACATTCATTGCAACTGTAAAGCAACCTGAAGACCAAGGAACAGAAGTAAATAATAAACAGCTTGTGTATGGTCATTTCCCGAGGAATGTTTGTATTTGCGCAAAGCTTAACTGGAATTATGCATCCTGGTAAGGTGAAGGTCAGAGGTTCAGTCATCATTCTGTGCAGTGTTATTAATTATGAAACGATGAAGCATATCTTCTATACACTTATACATTGAGCCTGGAGGAACTGCTACCAAATGGGACAATTACAGCCAGTTACTGAGACCTAATACTGCAAATTCAAATTACTCAAATGCAAGCAAATACAGCTCTTAACTTGTTTTCTATGTTTGTGTCATGCCAGTTTTCTAAGATGTTAAAGGTTTCAAACAAAAGGTCCAGCCTTTTATTGGAAAAGAAATATATCATGAATCAACTGGTTCCATTTTGAACACAAATATTGATAGACAAAGTCCATATTTTGTTTTCAGTGCCCAGTAACATAAACTGAACCTCTGTCCTGCAACTACCTGTGTCCAGTCTCTGTATGTCCTCAATACTCAGCAACAGTTTATCAGTGTGAAGGATCCATGTTCTGTATTCTATCCTCCTCTTGGACTGATGCACTGGTTGACTTTCAGAGAACACCTTGAAATGGCAAGATCCAAAGAAATCGATATTGATGGAACCAAATTAGTTTTGCTGTGTAAGCTAGTTTAGCTTCTTTGGCATACATAGTCTGATGATGCAGGACCATATGCATCAGTTTTATGAATTAATTATGATGCAAACGTTCACATCTTTGGGGCATCATTCCTTAATGCAGGTGAACAGGCTCTCAAGTCTTAAGATACAGTTCACACATTCATCAAGGTGTACTTCAGTGAAATCATGTATCCAGTATAGTTTCTCAGTTCATATCAACCTGTACCCTCATGTTTTGACTGACAGTGGTCTTCTAAGTATTAGCGTTCTTCTGTAATGGGGGTCACGGGTGGCCTAGTCATCTAAGGCGCCGCAATTCGCTGTGCAGAGTTGCGTCCCTTGGGCACGCCAGAAACCTATGATTGTGGGTTCGAATCCCGGTTCGCCCCAATTATGTTTCTAGGTTTGTCAGCACCATACCCGTGCTCGTGGCTTCACCGAAGTGGTAAACGTCTGAGACTTGCATCACTTCGGGCTTTCCTCAAACATTAAGCTGACACGCCGTGATATAACTGGAATAATGTTAAAAGCGGTGTTAAACCGAACTCACTCACTCACTCACTCACTCTTCTGTAAGGATCCTGTGCTTCGCTTGCTTGCTTCTTTGTAATTCTGTTTCCAACTGACAAGTGATGAGGATGGGGTGGCTACAGTGGGTGACCTGTTCCATGTCATCGTATCCTGAAGTCAGCGGATGCTGCTGATCCTATCAACCACAGGTTATGTGACTGAGGCATAAAACAACATTCACGTCTCTGGGTCCCATTCCATCAAGCTATCATGATTGTGACTTCCCTACTCCTACTTTGTGTAATAGTGCTAAGATCACAGTATTGTGATCTTTTCATTTTTGTAATTTATTTAGATTGTGTTTAAAAAAATGTCATATCACTTGTCACTGTTTGTTTGTTGTTTATTGCTGTGCTCAGCAATACTTCCGCCATATGATGGCAGACAATCCAGTGATTGACATCATGAGCATCGATTCCCGCAACCAAATCTGCAAGCCTGCCCAACTGAACCCGTTGGTCGCCTCTTACGGCAAGCATAGTCGCCTTTGGTTTGCTCAAGAGCTATTCTAACCTGGATCTTCACTGGTCACTTGTTACTGAATATGATATAAGATGTACTGCTATTTTGTTGATGAGAACTCATGCTTCCCTCTCAGTGTTTGTATTGCTTTTACTTTGTGGTACATTGAATACTCATCCCCAGTGTTACACCTGCCTCTGATCCAGTGGTACAGTCTTCCCTTTCCATCCTGGCTGAAGGGCATCTGAGGTGCTAGAATTTGCAGTGCATGGTTGCAACCCATAGGTGGGCAAATAACCTGTGGTTGTGGGCTCGAATTGTGGTTGTGTCCTGATTATGTTCCTAGGTTTGTCCACAACACACCCATGCTCATTGGTTGCCCAAAGTGGTGAACGTCAAAGACCTGCACCACTCCCTGATATAACTGAAATACTATTCAAAGCGGCATTAAACCAATCCCTCCCTCTCACCCATCCTGGCCTGTTTCAGTACTGGAGGACCCTTTCTGTGCCCTGTGATCCTGAGCTGTGTTGTGGCTGGCTTGTAGACTGATTGGTGCTACATCACTATTCAATTATCTCTGTTATAAGGGTCAGCTTTCTCAATAAAGCATGCATATTGACCAGTAAGTGCTACAGACTTGCGTTCAGTATGAGAGAAACATTAGACTCAACATGAGGGAAGTAATGACAGTGTCTTAATGAAATGTCAGCATTCTGTGGGGTAACATGGTGCTGATTCAGCTCTTGCCACTGTAACACTTTGGTGTTTAAAGGACTAAGTTATATATTTATTTTATTCTATTCATAAAACAAATTAATCAAAACATTTTATGTTGAATGATGGTCATTTTATTCAATGATCCTGTGGTTACTTTGTAGAAACTTGCTGATGCAGTGTTTAGATATGTTCACATTTCCACATGTTATCTGTGGATCCATTGTAGTGTTGAAATTGATAAGGATCCAACTCTTCATGGCAGTTTGGAAGGTAATTAGTCTGTTGAATGCTTTGCCTGTGTCTGAAGAGTAGAAGTCGAGGAATTTATTATTAGGACTGGTTATTCCCCGGTGATTTTCTATTATGCAGCCTATGTTGTACAGAACAGCAAAGGGAAACAGATTCAATCGTATTCAATTGCTGCCAGTTTCTCAAATTTCTTTCTGTCCACTTTGAGGGTAAAGGTTGTCTCTCTGATGATATCATATTTGGGATTTCATAAAATTTATATGTGTCATGGGCAGGGTACCTTATTTGGAATGATGTATGTGGCATTTGTACGTTTGAGGCATCAGATGATAGGTGTTCTTTAATACATGGTAAATGTCAGCTTGCAATGATCTCCAAAAGTGGCCAGTATTGGATCAAATTCAATATCTGCTTCTTTGCTTGACCTTTAGCAGAAAAGTACTTTGTGTATAAAGTATCTGAAACATTCATAATTTACAGATGGCTTGGTCAAGATTTCCTTGACTCTTGTTGAAGGTAGTTTTTGATTAGCGTGAAAATAGCTACATAATGACTGTCACAGTTTACTTATTCACCTTACCAGATACCATATTTTCTTCAGTATAGGGCACACCCAAGTATAATGCATATACCCCCTTAGTGGATTAAGTATTTTTTAGGAAAAACATTCCGAATATTATGTGCAGAAAAGAATTACACTGTACCCCTTCGGCAAAATCCGGTAAACGAACGTGTGATAAGAATACTTAGGTATTCGTTAGAACAACTGTTTTGAGGATATTTGTTTGCAGTGGAAATATCGTACATTTTGTTGAGATTGCTGCTTCCAATAATAGCAAGTATGTCTTCTGAACAGGATGCACAAAAGGCATCTGCCTGTAGCCCCTGGATTGTTTGGGTTATCTTCTGGCTAGCAAAAATATAAATATATTTAAAAAAATAGATTGAATTTTCAGCTTTCTAAAAATATGTATTTGGTTGTGTGTTCAAGAAAAAGGATGTAATAAGATGAAAACTGTCATACTCGTTCAAAGAAAACATAGAGTGGTAGTTATTTTAATGAACAAATGGAAGAAAGTTTGTTTTTGAAATTGCAATAGAAGTCATTTACATAATATCGGTGTATTTGAAGATCTTGAAACTTTGGCATAAGAATATTAATCAGATTATATGCCGAGGTTTGTGTTGAATGTTGCCTGACCACAGGGAAACTATTTGTGCAGTAGAAAGCATAAAGCATATTATGGTTGGGTAGCAACGCAGCAAGCTTTCTGTGCCTTTCGTGGAGCAGCCTATGTTATTATGAAGGGATTATGGAAACCAAACCTCTGTATCCATTACAAGTATTGATACCCTCAAGGGTGTCAGAAAAACCGAGGCACTAAAAGGAGTTGATGACGTCATGACACATGAGTTGACAAATTGTCAGGTTGAGATACCAGGCCAGTGTCATATTGGATTCCATTGTTGTGTTCAGCTTTGAAATCAATGTTGGGGACGTTCCTGGCGAGGAAAACTGATTTGTTACCAGCTTCATTGATCTCATTAGTGACATAGTATGCTTGCAATTACAACACATCCCTAACGGTGTCACATCACCTATGGCAATACCAACCTGTTACTGGTAGGATTTTGACTTTCGTTTACCCTGGTCACTTAATGAGATAGGTTGAACCCAAACAAGCATAATCACCTGTTCTTCGTCCGTCATGATAATTGTCAATAGCCGCCTTCTTGTGGCAGTCGGGAAGATGACAATGGGCTAGCTGGCCGTGGCGATAATGAAAGAGAATACAGAGGTGGGCACTGCATCTTCATCGTGGTTGTTTGGGGATTTGCCTTCCTCATATCATATTATGTCGTCATCAGATGAGTGACAAACAGATTTTGCTGGTCAGATTGTGCTCCTGGTAATGGAATTTTCCTCGGGCAGAATGAGACAAGCACCACCAGGCTTTCGACATCTCTTCCATAAAAACCTCAAAGGTAATCTTTTGTAGATATGCTGTGCCAGATATAGCTCCTTATGGTACAGAGTAGAATGGTAGTTCAAGGTCACAGTGCTGGAAACCATATACTTGCTCTTCTCATCCTTGTTTGTTTGTATGTAACCTCAGTCTCCGTGCAACTGCATATTTTTACTTTCAGGACTGAATATTTAAGAATTTTTTACTTAATATTTTTGGGCAGCAAGGAGATTTGGATTCTGGTTATTGTGTATAATTAGAGTTCAAACATGTTGATAGTAATCATTCTTAATTAGATAGTCTGTTTAACTGCTTTCTTTAAGCTTATTTTGCATGGAGTTGATTCATAAAACTTCATGAAACATTGACCATTTCAGTAAAGTCATCATTCGTATGTGATGATCTGTTTGAATGCCATGCATTTATTTATAACAAAGTGTCTTGTGCTTTTATGAGTTGGTGTTACAATGTGTAGTGATCATTTTTCAATGTCTTTATTCTCAATGCTAATTGCTTACATAAAATTGAATTGTGATTTTGAAGATCATTCAATGGATTTTGCTGTTTCAGTATCTACCTCAAATATTTAGTAGATCTGTGTTTAACAAGGGTTTTTTATAAATGTTATAGGTGTGGTGTTTTTGAGGTTTCTAAATATCAAAAAAAGGTTTTTTTATTAATTGAATTGTGGTCTGCTTTGTTGAAATGTGAAATACTTATGTTCTAAAGTCAAGGTCAGTGTAGCAATGCTTGAGCACTGCGTAACCAAAGTGGCAACAATTCACGGGACAGCAACATGGCTATTTGTACCATAGCTTACAGAGTGTTTTTCTGTTTGCAGGCCGCAGTTTGAACGTGAAGAAGAACGATGGCATCAAGGAGTCCACAGACAGTAGTACTATCGAGGATGAGGACACTAAGAGTGAGTCCACAAGTAATACACTCTTTGATTTTTCATAGGGGAATCACATTCACATCTCATGGGTTAGACACAGATCAGGGGATAGTAGTCTTTGTTCAATGAGGATATACCGTTTTGATACCGTTTCATTTTTCCAAGGTCAAAGGAATAATACTTTGAATGTTTTGATCAATGAAAGTGTTCAGACTTTTGATTTCAAAGAGAAGTCATAAAGTATGTTGGCATTGGCATGTACTGCAACCATTACAGCCAGATCTCTGACACAAGTCATTAGTATATTGAGACATTGGCATGGTGTGTACTGCAACCATGACAGCCAGATCTCTGTGAGACAGATTATGGTTGTGTTGAGACATTGGCATGTACCGTTATTTGTTTGCTGTCATGCTTGTTCTGACCCTGCAGTGTGGGGTGTCTGTGGATGTGGTCGCCTAGAATATGCTCTTAGACCACATCCATACACAATCTGACAGAAACATGGATTATGAGCTGAGCAGCAAGAGCTGTGCCATCTTCTCATGCTCATTCAATACTTCAGCCGTGTTCTTGTAGTTTATGTTGAAGTTTTATGCCTCTATAACGGAGCTAAATAAAGTATTTTGAATAGAGTTAGATGCTTGAAGGGATTTGTAGTAGACAGACCATGACACAGTGTCCTCTGGTCACCCAGGCTGGTCATCCATCAGATGTGTGTGTTGAACCCACTCTTGTCATATTTACTCTGTGTTGTTTTGTTGTTAGAAACGAGAATTTATGTTCAGTATTTCAATAGTTACTAAAAGTTGTTTTTATGGAACATGTAATTTGTTAAATGAGCCTTTATGCAATGAGAAGGGGGAACCTGAAGCAGCCTCTGTGACCAGTATGTCAAGATGGATTTTCAACAAGATGATAAATGTTGTTGATGAACACCAAGATTAAGATAGTAATGTATTCCGAATTTATCATTTGTCTGATGTGAAATGATCGAGACCTTGCAGGAGATGCACAGGTGAGTGTTTGAAATGGTTGCATCATTTGCTGTGCCAAATATCCAGTCACAAGACATGTGATGCTATGGATAGGAGTGTTACCTCCTCCACACAGTGATACCTCCAACATGAACACACCTGTATCGTCTGTAGTGGAGGCCTCTTGTTCTATATGGGGTTGTGAATGTTTGCGATGCAGCATGTGTGGTTATTTGTGTTTATTGTCTCAGTTGATTGATGTAAACAAGATTATTTTATACTTATGAAACACAGTGATTAGTCACACATTAATTCCAACACATGGCAGTTTTTTTGTGAGGTTTGAGTTTTGACAATTGCAAGTATTATTGAGTATTTCAAATCCATCTGTAACATATTCAAATTCTGTAAAAAACATATTGACATCCTTTAATGTGAAAGTTTTTTTACATTAACATATGTTAACATTCTATGTTAAGACCAAGCTTTACAAAAGTAAAATAATGGTTTGAGAAGATATTTATGATAACATTCTTCGGAACATTTCCAGAATTCTTAGGAAATGTGTTAACAGTAACTATTGAGTGACCTCCAGTCTACCCAAAGTGTTTTAGTTTCTTTTGCTTTTCTGTCTTTGCATTTTGGCCTAGAATACCTGTAAAACAAGATGTCAGATTAATCTGTCCCAATCATTTTACAATAAGAATGGAGAATTGGAGAACAGGAAACATAAAAGACATTCGCCTTTTGAAGTGTCAATAAAGTATGGAAAATAAGTTAGTATATTTTTGTTTTTATTTTAAATGGATGGATTTGTATACTGCTAATTTCACTCCAGTTTTCTTCAAAACCAATTTTCAGTTGATTCCAGCAGACAGCATGTTGTAATATTACAGAGTCTATTACAGAGTATCTAAGTTTGCATGAAGATGTATGTTAACCATTTTGTTGAACCATGCGTAAGAAAGCAGTGCTTAGTATGATTGGTTTCCTCTCTCTACTTCTTCTGATGGGATGACTACAGCTGTCAGCTCTCATCCTATCTCCTTTCCTCTCCTCTGTCCATCAGGCAAGCCAGATATTGACAGTGAGTATAGAAGGAATGAACAAGAAGTGAAGCCACCATCCCACCCATACCCTGCCCACTCTACTGGGGTCACATGCGTTCTGTTTTAGATCACTTTCAGTTTGCACGGTCTTGATTATAACTCTTAGTCTGCTTTTGGGGTTTGTTAGTTAATTGTTTTGATTTTGTGCATTTTGTTCATGTTTCTTTGACATGCTTTTAGTACTTAGTGCCATTCATAGAGATGTCTTAGAGATTAGAATTTCTACCCAGTCCGATGGTGTGTGGTTCTGTCACAGAGTGCAGCAACCTAATGGTGTTCCTTCTCAGAAACAGCCAAGAAGCCAGATGAAACCAAATTGTAAAAAGAATAGGAATTTTTTAAAGTCAATCCTATTTTCGTCTTGAAACATGGCTAAGGGCAGAATTCTATGAATGAAGCTTTCAGCTGAACATAATGTAATAACATCACAATCGACACAGAAAAAAATATTTGACCATGATGACAGAAACGTTTATCCTTCCAGTAGAACAATGAGGCAATAATGATACAATGGCATAATACCAGTCATGTCAAGTGTCATGTAGGCTCCTTGGCTGTTGTCTGAATAGCGAATGTTGAACATTCCCCCTCATGACATACATAATGGACCTCCAAGGTTAAAAACACCAAGAGCTGGGCTGGTTGTCAGTAGGACAAACACACAGAGTAGTGTGCAGGTCACCATACACTTCCACAGTGACTTTATACCAATCATACAGCATTTACATACTGGCCAGAATCAGCAAACTCTGTAGTTTACCACTCAACAGTTGTATCAAAATTGCGAAAATTATTTAAAAAATCCCATTTTTAGGAATATCATTTATTTAATTGAGGATATTGATATGTGATATCATGTGATATGAATAATTCTATGATAGATATAGTTAATGATCTAGCCTCTATTCCAAACCTTTGTCTTTGACCCAGTAGGGATCACATGACACTAGATTTGCAGAACCAGCCAATGTACCAATGTCTGAGCAGTCATACGAAAGTGAACGTGTTACAGAAGTGCTCAGCATGAGGTGATCTTCACTTAGTGTTCTTGTGGATGTTTTGCAAAGAAACCAACATATTAAAAAAGGACAATGCTTAGTATAAAGGGTTTTTTTTAAATTCAATGCATCTAAGAAGAAACAAAAGCTTACATTCAACTTGCTCTTTGATAAGTTCAGAAAGTTGCTGAACAAGCATATATATTTTAAAGTGTCTGATTTTAGATTTAGTTGAAATTTGATTGAGTAGGTTTGTGTTGAATAGCACAGCATCTCACCAGATTAGTTTCTGAGATTTACGGACGATAAAGGCAGATCATTAATGTGAAAATGTAGAAGATATCCCACTGTGTAATTGTGTCCCAGCAGAGGTTAAGATTGGTATACTGTCTGGTGACAGCTGATTGTGTGGCTTCAGTTTGGGCTTACAGTCATCAATATTGCAGCCAGTGACATTTAGTTTGTATAACAGTGCTCGATACAGACAGTTTTTCACTAATAATTAAAAGGATTTAAATCATCAATCTTGCTTGTAAAGATGTTTCATCTTAAAGATATATTACGAGAAGTTGTTATTTGAAAAAATATGAAAAATGAAAAAGTTTACAAAATTTAGACGTTTAACTATATATGTCTATGCTAATTGCATGCTCCCTTTTGTTTGGATCAGGAAATCACTGTCTCAGGTTTAGTTGTTTGATGCCAAGCAAAGTGGTTCATTGGTAACTTGGTGAACTTTATCAAATATGGAGAAAAAAAGATAGCTTCTAAAATATTTGACAATATATGATTAATGTTTTGTTCCCTATTGTTCCAAGCAAAGAGGCGTGTGATAGCTACCAAGGGTCTGACTGGTAAGATGATCTGACTCGTGGGTCTGGTGAAGGCTCCCTGAACTTGTAATATCCACCATACCTCGTATGCTGTACATGCAGGATGCCCTCAACATGTATAATCAACTCCCCAGTAAAGGATGACAATATACCACCCACAACCCCTCACCCATACATATCATGGTCCTTGGAGGTGTCCAGGGTGTTCCATGGAGCCTTATAAGGGTGTCATCAGGTGTCCTCTCATATTCATATATGATCCTTTGCTCATCACTGAACAATATCATGTAAGGACCATGACATATGGAGGATGTCATTAGTGTCAAGCACCACAACATATCCATTGCTTGCTAATTTGTCTTGCTGTACAAATGGAGACTATCATATAGCACCTGTTGCAGTCATGCACATCTTGGTGTCATGCTTTCTGTGATCAAGTCATCAACTTACTGTCATATGATAGTCACCTGTTTGATCAAATTGTGAAGAAAAGTACTCCTGGCAATAAGCCATTTTGTGGTAGGTCACTAACTTTACCTGATATAATTGGGAAATGTTGAGTTGGTCTGGTTTTAAACATTGCAGCTGAGCTGGAATTACTGATGGATATCTGACTTAGTTTTTTACCTTGCCTTTAGGAAACTAGATGTATATCTGCCTTAGAGCCCAGTTGCATGTTTTACAAGAGATACTTGGATACACAAGTTCAACTCAATATACAGCTCATATCACACAACAGGATGAACCAATCCTGTAGCTCAATATCACACAACAGGTTGAACAAATTCTGTAGTTCAATATTGCGCCATAGGATGAACCAGTATCTGATACATCAGGGTGAACCAATCCTGTAGCTCAATATTGCCCAACAGGATGTTCCAATGTCTCACACTTCAGGATGAACCAGTCCTGCCTGCAGCATGCATGTCCTGTCTCCTGAGACACACATCCTAACATCCACCATGGCATGATATAAAGGACACAATACAAACCATGCATGATCTTTGCCTCTAGGAAACATACAGGCAAGGTAGTCCAGTGGTCAGTGTTTACATCCCAGGTTTGATTCCCCAATGACCACTTTTGTGAAACGTGTTTCTGGTGTGCCCCAATCTGTTTAATTTGATACTGTTTGATGTGTTTTAAATGATTTTTAAGAAGCTAAAACTTAATAAAAAATTGGTTTGTTGTGATGAAATGTTTTCAATTCCCTCAGATTTTGACTTTCGACCTACAGAAACAAACAGAAATTGAGGGAAACAATTCAATGTGGTCCTTCATTCATGGCTTAAAACCAACTCTCCACCAGGGCTGGACTGGATTTGAGTTGGTTCTTACCTAGTCTTAGTGATAAGTGAAGACATAGACGACTATGCTTGTTGTAAGAGGCAACTAAGGGAATCGAGTGGTCAGTCTTGCCGACTTGGTTGATGCATGTCATTGTATCCCAATTACATAGATCGATGTTCATGATGTCAATTACTGCATTGTCTGGTCAAGACTCGGATTATTTACAGACATCATATTGCTGGAATATTGCTGAGTGTGGCATAAAACAACAACAACATGCTAATAAAGCACTGACTGCAGAACTGCATCATAGTGTTAACATCAAACACTTTTGGGCATCCTTCCACATTAAGCTGGTATGCTATGTTGAGACTGAAATGCTGTTCAACCTAACGTACTCATTTGCCAACCTGTCACACACAAAGTCCAAACAAATGTGAAAGGGACAAATTCAAAACACCTACACCTATTAGTTCCCCAGCAACCAATGCTGGTCATAACAGGCAACTAAAACAATTGGGTTGTCAGGCTCACTGACTTCGAAGAAAGACTGATTTCAAACCCCACAAAGGCGTGGATTGACAATCACTGGATTGTCTGGTGCAGACTAGACTATTTACAGATTGCCATCATATAGCTGGAATATTGCTGAGACAAATCTGTCGGCATAAAATGTATAGATAAGGGCATTAATGCAAAGTTTTCAGGTAAACCAGGTCTTGACCAGGTAAAGAGATGCAGTTTCATTATATTAAGGGAACAATTTATGAGGATTTTATGAACCTGTGTAAGATAATTATTTCAAGCTTCTAGTTAATCATCGTAAATGTTGATGGATGTGATTAATGGTACAGATATTATTTGTTTTTCTTTCATCAACAGCAAAATGGCTTATGCTTCATGTCCATATATCACTGCAATATTATCCTTGATAGATAGAGGTGGCGGGACAGCCTTGGCACGGAGCTCTGGTTTATGAAAGATGAATGTGTTTAACAGCAGAAATATATAATCTTACATAGATACTTGAGGAAATCTTTTGTGATCTACAATATGCTACATCTAAGAGTACATTATGAAAGCTTTCCATAGAATATGACCACCTGAGTAAAAAGTAATATTCATCCATCTTCTTTCTTTCCGGTATTAACAAACTGTTCACTTTACCTTATTGAATATGATAATCATTGAACATGTGAAATAAATCGAAGTACATAAGGGGTTAAGACTTGGATGAGAGAAACAATAGCCGGGTCACAGTTAAGCTTGCTGCTCTTTGTTTCTTCCATGTCATTTTCAGACCACGTTTGTTTGGTTTTCTCTCCAAATTTTAGTATTCCATTTTAGCCACATTGTCATAACTCATGCCAATACATACAAGTCGGTATACCAAGCCTACAGATGGTGTTGCAAAGCACAGGTTTTGCTTAGTACCCTAGATGGGAACGAGATACATATACTGCTCAAAAAAAGTTAAGGATCACCCGATTCTATTTACTGAACCAAAACTGTCAGGGATCTTGAACATTTTTGTGGAAATGTGTGCTCAATCTTCACAACAAAATATCCACAAGATGTTCATGATCCTTAAACTTTTTGGTTCCGTATGGCTCATCTGCCATACCATGACAAGGTAACCATAGTAATATGAAAGAACTGACAGACAATTAAATCTACTCAGCATGCAAATATATATACAGTATATTTCCATTGTATTATGGGCCGGTGGCCTGAAGTACCGAATAAATTTGTCTGTCTGTCTGAAAGAACTGGGTGGTCCTCAACAATTTTTTAGTAGTATATGTTAGGCCTTATCATTTTTTGTAATGATGGTTTTTAATCCTATTGCTAAGATTCCCCTCTGAAATGTTTCCAATTACCCTATGAAGTATTTTTATGAAGATATGACTGTTTTGGTGGATGGTTCTACTTGCTGCAACCTGCACGGCGTGGTCATCACGTGACTGGGTGTGGGCTGACCTTACTTCTAACACATGCACTTGATTCCAGGACCTGGACTGGTCCATAAATCATACCTCCTCTTGAACTTGCAACTACTCCAGTATTAGAACAAAATGTTTAGTGTTTTTGTGTGTCTCATTTCTTCAGAAACAGTTCATATTCAGTATGTTATTGTGTGCGTTAATATCATATTTTAGAAATGTGGAAGGGACTTAGAAACATATATACTGTCATATAACTGTTATTGTTTGTTAATTGTCTAGATTTTCTTCAGTAATAATTATTGTATTTAAGAATATAGTCTAGAGTTTCTTCAATAATAGGCAATATTATTTAAGAATATAGTCTAGATTTTCTACTGTAGTAGCCAATAGTATGTTAGAATATACTAAGTATGTATCATTTATTTACCAGTTAATGTATTTGGTAGGGAATATATTAGAACACTGTTATTCATGTAAGCTCTCAGTGTTGTTTTCCCCATCAAGAGTTGGGCACACGTGCCAATCATATTCATTGTATTGGAGCCAGGACAGTGTAATCTGATATTATACAAGAAAAGAACATTCATTGATTTTATCGATTGTCAAGGCAAACAGTCTTTATGAAGAAATGTCGTCTGTCGGGCACACAGATTTGTCGCTTTGCAGGCTTAAAGCTCTTCTCATAGGCTTTCATACCAAACATGTTCATGTGGAATATACCCCCACAGGTTCAGGAGCTGTTGACTTTATTTTTTAAGACATGTAATGAAATTAATTTTTTTTAAATTATTCAGGTTTTCTTAAATGTCCTTAAAAACAATGTTTTGGTGTTCTGCAGAAGCAACTTGTGCCGCCACTCTGAGACTTGGTGTTGTTGTGTTTCAGGTCGGAAACAGGAGATCATCAAGCTGACTGAACAGATGCTCCAGGCCATCACCAGCGGGGACTATGAAGCGTACACGTGAGTGCTGTTCATGTGCCATTGTACAACCCATGGCAGGATGCTCCTGGCTTATGTGAACCTATATGTGAGGAGGAGAATTTATGGATGTCTTTCTTTATTACGAGGAACACAACGGTTCAGAGTATATACCTATACTCCATCGGGTCAATAATAACCGTTTACAATATTAAGATGTTCGCTTCCATTTGACCATTGTTCATCTCCTATCACCACCAATTATCTGTTGGCTTCCCTTGTTAAGTTTCCACCATTGTTATCTTGTCACTTTTGTTGTTCTTACAGGTTCATATATATGTTCTCTGCTTCATAGCATTTATTCGCCTGATGAAGGAGTAAGTATATGCTCCGATATGTTGTGTTCTTCATAACAAAGAAGTTGACCTCCATAAATTCTCTTCCTTCTGCGTATCACTTCTAAATGTTTTTCCAAGACTTCATCCCTATATGTGCAATATATTCCAAAGGTGGGTGGGGGGGGGGGGAATAGATCGGAAGAGCAACGCAGTTTAATTTGAGTGACGATGAATGGGATATTGTGTCATAGAACATTTCTATTAAAATTTCTCTTGATGAAGATTTTGCAGACCATTGATTGGCATATATGCAAAAGTTTCAATATTGAAAAAAAGTTACAGAGAATAATCAATGAAAGGATGTGTTGAAGTGGTGAAAAGTTTGTGTTCTCCAAGTGGATACTCTATTGATAGGCAATTTAAGTAATCTTCAGCTTTACAGACACTAGAGAAACACTTTACATACATGCAAAGACATGTTTTAAATTGCTCCAAATAATCTACTTGATCAGATTAAAATAGAGTAACAATGATTTCATTCATTGCGCATTTTTGCATGCTGAGATTTTAGGTTTGATAGCCAGTTTTGCGTGACACTATCATGAGTGAACGTCAAAGCGTTTTAGCCACAGGTTGTAGATAATGATTTCTGTTTGCACAAGCAGGACTGAACTGTCCACAGTGGTGACAGCTGCTGTGATCACAGCGGACTAGCTTACATTTATATCTACCACTCAACTGCTGATAGGCTTCTTTGTTAGCTCACTTGACTGAAAGTCATAACGCATTATAAGCTGTAGCAGATCACTCGGGGTACATGGGGTTTTATGCGTCACACATTAGGTATTGTACCATGAGCCAGAGGCAAGTGGTTTAAAACCTGATAAGACCCCATGTACCCCAAATGATCCTGCTAAAAGCAAATTTATCTTACCGACAATTTTTAATAGGACATTGTAAAAGAATTAAAACAAACTCAAAGTTGTTAGGAAACAGCTGTTCCATTGAGCGGAGGTTAGCTTGTGCTATGTCACGTGACTTTCATTAACTCAGAAAAAGCATGAAGCTTTTTGCTTTGAAGCGGGGTCTAAGCGATTTATTCTGCCTCTCAGAAATCCATGTGCAGCCTGTCTTGCTCATGGCGGGGTAGAAACAATTTATTCACCCGCTGAGAAATTTATTTCCCTCAAAGGCGGAATACATAGTATTTTATCAAGATCACATGGACCAATCAGATCTCATCATTCTGACATGGAGGTATGATAATGTCTGTTGTCTGGCCATCTGTTGTTAAAGTTGAGCATTTTTGACACAATAGTCGATTGTAGCAAATGCAAAACAACCGCGCACAGGTCACAAATCAGGTGAAGTTGAGCAATGTTAGCCGCGTTGAGTCTTTAGATGGGTGACCGTGTTCGGCAGCTTGGCTCCTGAGGGGTGGGGTGTTTGTATGCAGGGGGTATGCACCACCGTGGTTTTTTGGACAACTAACATGTTAACTGCGTCTTCGGCCAAGTCACATGGGTTTTATGTAGACCACCCCTTTTGCAAAATGCTGTATTCACCTCTTATGTTTGACAGCAGTTTTTGAGCTACCTGGGGACACAGTCATGTTTTCCAACTGAACATCTGTGTCTCACCAAAACAGAACTCATTAATCTCTCATACTGATGCCAGAAATATACCTTAATTAGAGAACATTACTGACATTAGTACCTACTATCCCATTGGCAAGTACTGTATACATGTTGGATTGAAAATGTTCTTAATCATCAAAGCATTGTGACTATGAATGGAATTGTTGTATTGTGACTATGAATGGAATTGTTGTTTTGGTATAGGCGTTGAAGATCAATCTTGACAAGTATCAGATATGTGTTATTTCTTGATTCGTGCATTCAAGAAATGAATTCTAATTCTAGGTTTTAGGTCTCATGAATATCACAATATTATCACATACACGTTTATACTACTAATAAGAGATTATTTTTGCTAAGAGGTCACATGGATTATCACACTATTATCCCATACAAATATATGCTAATGATAAGTGACTATTCTCACTAATGGTAACTTTCAGAAAGACAAATTATGTTACTCTACATATCGCTTTTGTGTCAAACTGGATTATATTTCTGGCAATGTGGCTATTTATCAGAATTCGAGCACATTTGTTACATTTCTATGTCCTTGGTATTTTTTTGGGTTGATTTTTTTGCTTCAAATTTTTCTTAAAAAGAAAAGGGTGAGAATATTAGTGTTCACAAGTTTGATGTCCAAGTTACTAAGTAGGTACAGATGGCCCAGTCATCTGTGACGCCACAATTGGCTGTGAAGAGTTGTGTCCCTTAGGCATGACAGAAACACAAGATCAGGGGTTCCAATCCCTCTGTCGCCCTGATAATGTTTCTTATTAGATCAGTGCTCATTCTCATGCATCACTGCAAGCTTCCTTCCCACGTCAAACTCACTCACCCACCATAATTAACTGAAATATTGGTCCACCAAACTCGCTCAATAGAACTGCATGAACATTCAGGGTAGTTTGGAAATTGGATTGCCAGCATTCCTGATGTAACTGTGAAATACTACAAGCAGATCCTGACTACGGATGTTGACAATGTTTCTTTGGAAATACCATAGCAGGGCTAGACAGCGAAACAGTTTTAATTGGAGATTGTTAGCCAAGTGTACTTTCATAATGTAAATGTCATGTAAGGAATACAAATTGTATTATGCGAGCCTTGGAAAAGCACAATACCTACTTTTTATTCCTAATAAAGGATGTTTTTGAAACAGAAACACACAAGGGTAATAATCTCCTCGTCTGATATATAACGAACATGCTTATAACAAACCGACGGATGTAACAAACTTATTTTTGGGTCCCTGCCATTCGCTGTATATATGCTTATAACAAACTATGGTTATGACAAACTAGAATTAGTGCTCCCTTATAGTTCATTATAACCATAGTTTGCTGTAATGTCATTCTAAAATAAATTAAGAAGACCTGTTTGCATTCGCTAATGTGTAACCTTTGAAATAGAGTAGGAATACAAAGCCTGAGTGAACCACCCCATTTGTTATATAGTGCCAATAATTACTTGCTGCCATGTTTGTTTCCAATGACTCACACTTGGGAAACCTAGGTCAACTTTAGTGGAGTATTATGTCAAGATTTTGTAGCAAGTTGGCATTGCATCTGTGTAAAAAGTTTGCATATTTGCATATTCCTCAAATTGTGATACCAAGTTGATCAGATTGGTATAACACATCGTAACACTATCCATTATATGACAATGGGAAGTAGGTTTCATCACGTACAGAATGCCTTCTTTTTGTTTCAGGAAGCTCATTGACCCTCACCTGACGAGTTTCGAACCCGAGGCTCTTGGCAATCTAATAGTAGGCATGGACTTCCATAAGTTTTACTTTGATCATGGTGAGTATGTACACAAACACGGATACAGACATTTGGGAAAGGAGGGATGGTTTAGTGATATTAAGTTAAAATACTATTCCAAGATGAATTGAAATGATTCATGAAGCTATTTTCATTAAGTTGTCATGGTTTGTTTTGTTCCCTTTCACATAGAACTAAATGATTTAGTAACGATGTAATATGTTGCCACTTGGTGTCAGGCGAGACTCCTAATGTTAGTGTACATGTTTAGTATGCTTCAAGGAGGGACCATGCATTCTGCACGTTTACCCTCTGGACTAGTTTGTCACTCAGACCCTGGAGAATAAGTTAAAAAACATAAGCCATCTTAAGTCTAGAAAGCTTTGGCAAGTATGAATTGCCTCAGCTTTAGAAATTAAACATTGATCTAGGCTCCATTTGAGCTATTTGGTGCTAAATGTCTACATCCAGACGGACAGAGATTTGTAGTGTCGGCTAGAAGTTCATGTTTTACTATGATTTGTAACCAGTGTAAAAGTCAGTATAACCTGTATTGTACACAGAAGGCATGTACAGGACATCCTTCAAATCAAACATATTTACAACCCTTTTCTCAAAAAAATGAAAATTGAAATAAAACTATTATTAGACTTGGGAGAAATCTGTCTTAGTAGAAAGAAAGATCTTGCATTTTTGTAAAAATATTTGTGTGTGTTTTGAAGATATGTACAATTGTATATCCTCTGGTTTCAGTTTTGTCAAAAAATAACAAGCCGGTGAACACCAGCATTTTGAACCCTCACGTTCACCTGTTAGGGGAGGATGCGGCTTGCATTGCGTATATTCGACTTACGCAGTACATAGACAGGTCGGTCACGTGAGTTCATTTTGTCTCCTACTCTCTTATTTAGTTTGCTTTTTACAACCATGATTTTGTAAATCAGTGTTTCTCAGCTTCTACGCCCAAGACCACATCCAGAAAGTAATGGAGTTATGACAGTTGTAGGTGCTACGATTACCTTGTGAAACCAAACTTTGAGGTCTTTATTTCAAGAAGAGTTGTCTTATGATACATCAATGCGGAGAAGTCACAGTCTTGATTATCTGCCTGAACCGATTCCATCAGTCATAAAAGGCAAAACAGTGATAAATTATATGAATAGGTCACTAAAAAATCAGTGATGACACCAGGCGTTCACGAAGTGCAAAAGGTTCATGACCCTGTTGTATGGGTTGATCGAAACACTTACAGGTCATCATTAACCCTAATGTGGACATGGATGCCTAGGAGGAAATGGACCCTGGTTCTAACCCCTTCTTAGTGACATGTGTACACTACCCTCTGGGGAGAAATGGGCCTGCAATTACACGCTCCCTCTGGTGGTGGATGATGGATTGGTGGGGAATAGAGTTTGAGATTTGATTCTGTGGTAAATGTCTATTTGGTAGAGGTATTGATTACAGGGTGGTGGTGCCAACCTTTATCCAAATTCACTTTATGAATTATGAAAATATCTTCTTCCTATCATATGTGGTGGAGAATCAAAATGTAAATAGTTTTATTTAGATTTGTATTTTTTACGTGTTTGTACTTTGAAGTAAAAACTTTGTCTGAAACATTTACAACATAACTAAGACTGGGCATTCAGCTGCCATGAGAAACACTGATGTTAGTTGCACCGTTACGTACCTGGCACATCTCATTAGTAGTAGTATCTTTGAGTTTTGTCTTGTAGTGTTTCTTACATTTTGTGGAACCAATCTCCTTCCTGCCATGTAGAACAATGCTATACCCTCCCTATTCTTGCCATGTAGACCAATATCAATGTTATACCCTACCTATTCTTGCCATGTAGACCAATATCAATGTTATACCCTACCTATTCTTGCCATGTAGACCAATATCAATGTTATGCTCTCCCTATTCTTGCCATGTAGACCAATATCAATCTTATACCCTCCCTATTCTTGCCATGTAGACCAATATCAATGTTATACCCTACCTATTCTTGCCATGTAGACCAATATCAATCTTATACCCTCCCTATTCTTGCCATGTAGACCAATATCAATGTTATACCCTCCCTATTCTTGCCATGTAGACCAATATCAATGTTATACCCTCCCTATTCTTGCCATGTAGACCAATATCAATCTTATACCCTCCCTATTCTTGCCATGTAGACCAATATCAATGTTATACCCTCCCTATTCTTGCCATGTAGACCAATATCAATGTTATACCCTCCCTATTCTTGCCATGTAGACCAATATCAATGTTATACCCTCCCTATTCTTGCCATGTAGACCAATATCAATGTTATACCCTCCCTATTCTTGCCATGTAGACCAATATCAATGTTATATTCTTGCCATGTAGACCAATATCAATCTTATGCTCTCCCTATTCTTGCCATGTAGACCAATATCAATGTTATATCCTCCTTATTCTTGCCATGTAGACCAATATCAATGTTATATCCTCCTTATTCTTGCCATGTAGACCAATATCTGGCTTATACCCTCCCTATTCTTGCCATGTAGACCAATATCAATCTTATGCTCTCCCTATTCTTGCCATGTAGACCAATATCAATGTTATATCCTCCTTATTCTTGCCATGTAGACCAATATCTGGCTTATACCCTCCCTATTCTTGCAATGTAAAACAATATCTATCTTATACCCTCCCTATTCTTGCCATGTAGAACAATGTCAAACCTGTGCCCTCCCTATCCCTACTCTTTAGAACAATTTCAACTTAATTATAACCTGCCCATACCTGTCATTTTGAGTAGTTATTCCCTATTAATACCATGTAGAACAATATTAATGTCATACCCTCCATACAGCTGTCATTTAGAGTTATATCAATGTTATTATTCCCTCTCTGGCATATCGATATGTTTAGAGCAATATCTTTATATACCTTCCCTATTCCTGTAAAATAGAGCAATATCAATCATGTTTTGCAACTTCTTTTCTCTTTTGGTGGTGGTGTATAAGTTTGTAAAGAGTATTCACGACACGCACAAACTTTCTATTTTAAACGTGTAGTCCGAATTTTAGAATCTTTGAATCTGCTTCAAAATAGTCCAGATTACACTCTGTTCACACTGTACATCAACAATGAAGGAAGTGTTGGCAGTACCTGCTTAAAGATTGGCTTCAGCAAATTAATATTGCAAATGTATATCATCCAAGTTCTGTTTTGATTGTGGACACCAAGCCTACAAGTTATGCATGAGGTTTGGGTGTCTAAGTGGTGTAACCATGGTACCATGCAGGAGGATCCAGTGGCAGTGAAAGTGCAGAGTTATGTCCCCTGGCTACCAGGATTCACTGATATAGAGTGCAGAGTTATGTCCCCTAGCTACCAGGATTCACTGATATAGAGTGAAGAGTTATGTCCCTTAGCTTCCAGGATCCACTGATATAGAGTGAGTCATGCTCCCTAGCTACGGGGATTCAAATTGGCGGCATGAATCCTAAACTCACTAGCACTAGGTACGCTCCTGGCATGTACCCCGAATATTTTTCATGTGTGATGGATCTCCATTTATATGTCAGTATTTTTCTGTGGTATCTATTTCTGTTTGCAACTTGACCAGTTCAGTGATCACTTGACCAAGTTTCCTACAAATGTCATAGCTGCCCTCATATGTAGATCAATTGCAAAATTTATGGGGATGCACAGAAATGTTTGGCATTCCGAAGTTAGCTTTGCATGATCACAACTAGCAGTGTAAGTTGCATGAACTGAAGTCCACTGCAATGAGCATTATTTAATTTCATCCTTTGGCATATTATTGTTTGTTGTTTAACTTCTGGAGTTTGAAGTATTGACATACTAAAAAATGCTTTGAATGTTGTCGATAACAATTGCCTGATCGTTATTGTTCCAGAAACGGCCTGCCAGTGACGATGCAGTCTGAAGAAACGAGAATCTGGCAGAGAAAAGATGGCAAGTGGCAGAACGTACATTTCCACAGGTCCGGAAGCGCGTCAGCCCCACATGCAAAATAGACGTGCAACACAAGTGACGACGACGGTCATGATGTGAAGAGAATCTTCAGTTTTTGGACAATTTTTAGCTTTCTGAGGCATCTTGTTTCCGAACTGTCTTCAAGTCCTCTCTGGTCGGTACACTGTGATTGTCCATGGAAAAATCTTTTATTCCATTTAACATACTTTTGCAATCGATGCATCATGAAATGGCATAGCGGGTTGGCACGACGACGAGAACACATGCGAAAGGCATGCTTTACTGTATGAACGAAAGAGTAATGGTCTCGTTAGTAAACATGCCAGTAAAACCAACTACTTATGCCAGGATGCCATCACCACGGCAACTGTTGCCATGGCATACAGACGTGACATGCATGTGTTGAGTCATGCGATGCACGGTTGGTCTGAGTTACCATGGCTAGGTTCGAGTCTGTGTTCAGAGCCAGGTTGCATGTACATGGGTTTGATACTCGTGATGTAGGATTTGGTCACTGATATTATCGAAAGAGGAAGGCTAATGAACCGTAGCATAAGAGACATGAAATCCCTATTCTCAGTTAAGTGCAATACTGGTATCATCGTTGACTTTTGCTCGTTTTCTCAGTGTGTGTTTTGTTTTTGAAGCAGTGCGGCGTTCTGTCTGTTTTAAGCATTTGTGTATGCAGACAGTTTCTCAAATTGTTGGCCTTGGGCTCGTTTGTAGTTTCATTAGTAGTTTGAAAAACAAATGAATTGATACTTGCAAAATTTGTCAATCTTATGAGCAACTTATAACCACATTTATAGGATTTTCTATATTAACAAAATTATATGCTGAATATTTACCCATTCTTTGCTCCTAAGATGAGTAGATATCTTACCCCAGACAATTTCCCCTCATTTGTTGACGGAATAATGGTGCTCTTGTCTTGCTTGCTTGGGAAATAAAGTCATGGAACTTTGAATGATATGCAGTTCGAATGTACTTTGTAAAGTGTAATTTTATGCATAATATATTTTGATTCATAGGTTTTTAAAACAAGCAAAAATAATTTTTCAATTTATTGAAACTCATAATCATTTAGAATCTAGATATGAATATTTTAATCTTTCAAAAATAATTAGTAATTATAGAATAGCAATATGTTTTAATTGTAATTTAACAAACTTTTATGTTGACTGCTAAAAATGGAAAAGCTAGTTTGACAATTGTAAGCACTGGAAATGTGTTTTACAGTTGCCCCAAGTATTTGTTTCATGGTAAAGGTCTTGTACCCAAGTGTAATGGATACGTTTTGAAGCTGCCAGTGCTCCACCACTAGGTGTAGTCCGTGGTATATGTTTGTTGTATATAATGGTTTGCATATAGTCCCTCGCTCTTTTTATTTGCCATCTTTCATAGGTTCTGTACATTTTTTTCTCAGGAAACATCATAATGATTTTCCACTTTATAATGGAACTGTAAAAACATTGTGTAATTTTTGTTGAAAATATTATTATTATAACTTATTATTTGCACATCTTATTCGGCTGCTATTTGATTTTTAAAGACAATTTTTACTTTTAATTTTTATCAAATTATTTTTGAATGATTTTACCAGGGTTTGAAGTATTGATTGTTCTGTTGCTTACAGCAATTCTGCACACATCTTGACTTGGACAGGACTAGACATTGTTCCTAGAGAATGTTAACGGAGGGAATTACAAGGAGTTCTCTCTCATGTTGTACAGCCATCAGAACTTGTTCCTTATTGATATGTTTTTGGAAAGTACATCATATTTGCCTTACTGCAAATGTATATAACAGATTTTAGAAATATAGATATTCAATATTTCATGAAATATAGAATAGTTTTAAACTTTAAGAACAGAAAGTGAGGGATTTCTTCAAGAGTTTTAATTAGAGAGTTTCCTGTTGGACTGTTTGTATGTGTACATCCAAAGAATTCCATCCATTCTAAAGATACCTTCTTACAATATTCTAATGGTTTTTGGTACAATTTGTGAAATCAGTTTTTTGTAATAAAAACAATTTTGAGAACAAATTCATGCTTTAATTTGTGTCAACGTTATTACTTTTGTTTATCTAAGTTACATGCACAAAGTTCTATTTGTACCAGCAAATATTTGTTCGTGTTCATATCCATGCATAATACACTGTAGTTTGTCCTCGCTGTTTCTGTGTCTGGAAGCTGTTGTCTTTGTAGGAAGACCAGTATTGTCACTTCTGATGATGTATTACATTACATAAACATCAATATTTCACTATCTTTCTTCAAATCATGCAAAATAAGGCATACATATCTACCAATCAACTATTAGCCAGCTTCTTCAAATGATGGGAAAGGATTTAAACAGATAGAAGGTGTCAGTTTGATAGTGGTATGTGATATTTAGGATGCCATTACCTTAACCAAGTTCTGTTCTGAATAAGCCCATGGGAAAGAGATGATGTGGTACTGTTAGTTTTCCATCACTCAACCTTGTAACTGTGAATTGTTTGATAGGCATTTCTTAGAAGTTGACGGATGACAAAGTAGAGACAATTTATGGATAACAGCTTCTTTATTTGCTGTAAAGGCGACGTCACCAAAACGTCACCTTTACTGTAAAATAAAGAAGTTGTTGTACATGAATTGTCTCTACTTTGTCTTGTAACTGTGCATGTAATAAAATGAAAATTTCAAATTGAAGAAATGAAAATTAATATTGTTTTATACTAGTCCAGAATATTTTTGGTCAGAATTACTCAGGTATGAAGAACTCCGTTTTAGGCCAGTCATACAATTTCCTGAGCTAGGCAAACATTCTGATCAAACTTGGTATGCAGACTTTGAAATATGGCTCCATCAGATACTTTCAATATTATGAAAACGCATACCATTTACAGTTGTTGCCACACTAAGGTTGATCCCTCTGAATTATACATATTGATAAACATTTTGTACACCTATGATATCATTAGATGGTTGATGTATTTTAATAACATTGATTGTATTAATTGTAAAAAATGTACTATGTATCATCACAGAATATTGATACGTCATTTTGTTTCTATGCCACTATTTGTAAATTCCCATAGTCTCCTCCTAAACGTAACAAATATGCACATGCATCTGCATGCACATGCATTCCTTGACGGGCATGATCCATAAAAAAATAAAATTAAATATCAAGGTTGATAGGTGATAATTATTTACATATAATATTCAGTGTATGAAGTATTTTTCAGAAAATATTTTGATACAATTTTTGAATGCTTAAGTGATCAGAAGTCCCATTGGTATATGCATGCAAATGTATGTGTGTGTTTGAGATTTCTGTATATGTCATTCAGGGGACTTTGCTGATACTCAGCTCATGCTGCTGCAAGTTTTTCCAGTATGTGTTTTGGAATGGAAATACTTAATTTTCCGTTACTTTTTAGCCACTAGGCAATCTTTCACCCCCACTGATGCCGATGAGCCCCTACTTGAAAAGGGGGGAAGTCTGTTCATTGTTATCCAGGATGGGTCTATTTCGTGATAATAGGGGTGTAGGAAGAACAATCATGTTGGTTGTGTTTAACCAATTTTACTACTTTCATTATGTGTTTTATTCTGTTTAAAGTTCTAATGACAATGTTGAAATGTTACAGTGCCAGACTGCATCACGCACTGGTCATTCAAGCTTTGTAAAAACACAGTAGTCTATTTGCAGCACAGTTTCAATATATGCCAATTTTTATGCATTCATCATTGTCACATGTTGGTCAAGAATGGCCAATGTCCACTGAGCTCATTTCTCTATGTTCATCTACCTGTTACCATGGTAACAGTATCCATGTGTTGTTCTTTCTCATTCAACTGAATCATCTTTAGGTTTGTCGTATTTGACTCATTCAGTAGGTGCTAATTCGCTCTTTTCCGACACTCAAGGTTTTTTTTGGATTATCACTCTTCTCCATTGTAGATGTAGCGGCCTCAACCTCTCATCAACTGGTATTGGTCACGTTAACCACCCATTGTGTTAATTAACAATTAGCTTCCTCCATTTCTTACTTATACTAGCTTTTCTGCATGCTCCAAAGACATCCGGTCGATTTAACATTTATTTTCAAATTCCATGCAAACTGGCTTTATATGCACACAATGAAATTTACTTCTTTTATATAAATGTCTCACAAGAGTGATATAAAGTATGATGAATTTTAAAAAAAAGTTATTTATCTATATATGAAATTTTGCCATTTTATATATGTGAATCTCGATTGTCAAGTGGTGGTGTAAGGCATGGACACAAGAGCACATGTACACCCTAGATGAGTTGTGTCCCCTTGGTTCAAGGACCCACTGCATCAGTTCCACAGCACCTGTATCTTCAGACATGACCCATGCAGGGGAAGGAAATAAGGGGAGACAATCCTTCTATGTTCACCTCTTCATGTTTTGATCACTTATACAGTGTAGTGCTTTCAATATATTGTCCTTTAAATCTTTGAATAAAAACTCCATTACCACAGATGTGTCCTGGTCATTTAGGTATGTGTATTGCTTGTACAGATACAGGAATGTTAGGGATATTCATGCAGCAATTGGCGACATTGACGTTGGAGCAGATACATTATTGTGAGGTAAAATAGGGTGTGATGCCCTAAATTCCGAGTGCCAGGCAGCGAAAGTACCATTTTCAACGTCTTTTGGTATGACACAGCCTGGGATCGAACTACCAACCTTCTTCTCTCCAGGCACACGATCTATCCACTACAATCTATCCACTACACCACGGAGACAGCCGGATAGAAGGATGGATGGTTTGTTATTTAACACCGCACTCAGCAATATTCCAGCTATATGACGGCGGTCTGTAAAATAATCGAGTCTGGACCAGACAATCCAGTGATTGACATCATGAGCATCGATCCACGCAATCGGGATCGATGACATGTATCAACCAAGTCAGCGAGCCTGACCACCCGATCCCGTTAGTCGCCTTTTACGACAAGCGTAGTCGCCTTTTACTGCAAGCATGGGTTGCTGAAGACCTATTCTACCCCGGAATCTTCACGGGTCGGAGACAGCGGGAGATCAAACTACTGACCTTTCAGACACTCCGTGTATTGGACCGCCTGTGGCGTAGGGGATAAAGGAAACAGTAGTTAATTATGTTAGTTAGTGTGATGAATGAGTGGATGTTGTTTTACATGCGGTCGTCTAAATACCAGCCATATCAAGGCTGCATGGTGCGGGACACATAGTTAACAGCAGTAGCAGGATAACACACCATCAGCCGTTTCACACATTGTAACAGTGCTCCAAGTCTTCATTTAATAGCGGGGGCACGGGTGGCCCAGTCGTCTAAGGCGCCGCGGTTTGCTGTGCAGAGTTGCGTCCCGTGGACACGCCAGAAATCTATGATTGTGGGTTCGAATCCCGTGCTCATGGGTTCACCGAAGTGATAAACGTCTGAGACCTGCATCACTTCGGGCTTTCCTCCCACGTTAAGCTGACACACCGCGATATAACTGTAATACTGTTAAAAGCGGCGTTTAACACAACTCACTCACTCATTTAATAGAACGCCATTTTAAGTCACATTGCTTACGTGCGTTGACTCTCTCATCTCAGTCGCAACACCAAGGTCATCTCGGTCATATGCCCGATGGGTGATGACACAATTTCCATCAGGTCACACTCCTAGGAGACCATGATAAACAATGAACCAGGTAAGACCACCAACATGGCCACTGGGCAGGTCCTTATGTCAAGGTTTTATTACATTATCAACCAGATCCAATTCCAGTGTTGGTGACCCACTAACAGTAAGACAAATTCAAACTGCAGAGGTGCTGTGACACTATAAACAAGGTCACACACCCCAATATGTGATCACATGAAAATCACGTGCACATTGATCCATTAACTGGTTAAACATGGTCAAAGCGCCCTTGAGCTGCTACAAATTGGAAGTGCACTATTCAATTCATGATTTAATTTAATAGAATACACCATGGACTAAATTGCACTGCAGAGGTGAAATAGTACTATGAAGAAGGTCACACACCTGAAATGTAGGGAGAAAACATTTGCCAGATCCCACTGCAGAGGCGAAAAGACGCCATTGGCCAGGTCACACTGTAAAGGTGTGACAATACTTTGAACAAGGTCACATTCCTAGATGCGAGGGGCATTTGGGTAGTGAGTGAGTGAGTTAAAATTTAACGTCACATCGGCAACATTACAGCCATATCGTGACGAGATAAAGTCAGACATTTGATTACAAAGAAATTCCTACTTTTAAAATACCTGTCGCCAAAGGACAGTACAATAACTAGAATATCACAGATTTTAGTTAAAACTAGTTTGAGAGTATATAAAAGAATAAATTACAATTCAACAACACAATATAAAAACGGGTTATAGATCGCCAGCAACCAAAGTTAGGCCACCACACTAGGGGCCGAGGGGATTTACAATGCTTCTGCTACCTGCACGGTTCCCCAGCAGGATTTTCACCATCAGGATTTTCACCATCCCTTCAGTCGCTGGCGACATATATACATACTAACATATATACTGCGATTAAAAATGTGATAGCTATAAATTTACTTTGAAAGAAATGGAACTTATGTATCCTATTCGGGGGACAATCATTTTACTGTACTTTAACCCCCTTCGAGGAAACAGCCACTAACAATCGCAGTTGTTAATTTAATCTACCAAATTTAAAACAGTTTTTATACAATATTATTAATCAAAATTTTCCTAACAATTAAATTTCCTTTAAAAAACCTATAATTAAACGAGAATTAATACTAGTAAAAAGATCCTTAATAGATGATGATTTGAAATATTGATCCCTTGTGATGGAATAATCAATACAGTCAAGCAGGATATGCTTGACCGTGAGTCTCTCATCACAAGGGATGCAGAATGGAGGATCCTCACCTTTTAATAACTATTCGTGGGTATATCTGCTGTGACCAATACGACATCGTCGCATAATGACCTCTTCAAATCTGGACTGACAACCCAAGTAGGTGTAACCGATAGTTGGTTTAATTTCATGTAATTTATTAATACCTACTTGGGTGTCCCACTTCTTTTGCATTAGACCTCTGATGTACGATCTAATCAAGGGTTTAATATCACTGTATCGGATTGGAAGTGGTGTCACAGATTTGTTGAGTGCTGCTTTTGCATCAGCATCAGCCATTGTGTTACCAACAATTCCAACATGGCTGGGTAACCAACAGAAAGCTATGTCGTATTGGCCAGTAGATAGATCATTATATAATTCGACAATTTCGAGTAAAAGTGGACGTGTACTGGACATATTTTGAATAGCCCGAAGACACGAAAGAGAGTCTGAAAATATTATGAACTGCTTATGCTTAGATTGAGTGTTAATATGTTTAAGAGCTGTTAAGATGGCGTGTGATTCTGCCGTGAACATTGAACTGTCATGTGGCAAACTGAACGATATTGTTCTGGATCCAATGATAGTAGCGCTAGCAACTGCGTCACCATCCTTGGATCCATCTGTAAATATAGATTTGTATGTATCATATTTATTTCTCAGTTGATGGTATTCTCCTGATAAATTAGTGGATCAGTTTGTGATTTCTTTAGTTTTGTTAATGTCAGGTCTACCTCTGGCCTTATCAGTTGCCAAGGAGGTGAAGACAGAAGGCAGTAAGGAGAAATATTTTAAATATTCCTCAGAAATTGCAGTTTTCACCCTTATTCCAAGAGGGGGATTAAGAGAAGCTTTCTGTTGGTAAAGGTCCTCATATATGGGATGAAAAACGCAATCATATGCAGGATTTGACTGATTTGAAGATAATTTGGTGATATACTGTAAAGATAATTTCAGACGTCGGAGTTTAAGTCATGGTTCGTCGGCCTCTACATATAAACTGTAAATGGGAGAAGTTCTGAAGGATCCAAGGCAGAGCCGTAGTCCTTGCTGATGTATAGAATCAAGTACTTTTAGATTGCTTTTGCATGCTCCCCCATAAACGATGGATAATCCAGTTTTGAACGTATGAGAGCTCTATACAGTTGAAGGAGGGTCTTCTGATCACCTCCCCACTTTGAATTTGAAACGACTTTTAACAAGTCAAGTGCCTTCAGGCATTTAGTTTTAAGGTATTTGATATGGGGTTTAAATGTCAAATGGCTATCAAAAATAAGTCCCAGGAATTTTGCTTCCTTTACAATTGTGATAGGTGTGCCATCCAAATATAGTACAGGGTGTAGCCGAGTGGTTAAAGCGTTCCCTCATCACGTCGAAGGCCCGGGTTCGATTCACTACATGGATACAACATATGAAGCCCATTTCTGGTGTCTCCTGCTGTGATATTGCTGGAATATTGCTAAAAGGGGCGTAAAACCACACTCGCTCACTGCTAGATGTGATGAACCACTATTGACAAGGTCACACTACAGAGGTGTAACAATACTGTGAACAAGGTCACACTACAGAGGTGTAACAATACTGTGGACAAGGTCACACTACAGAGGTGTAACAATACTGTGAACAAGGTCACACTCTCGAGATGTGAAGACACAACTGACAAGATGTCAGTGTCACCTCCTACCTGTACTCCTCTTCCTACCGGGTTTCCTCCCATGTTCAGCTGAATACTTTCATGCCGAGCGCCAGACAGGGTAACAACAAATACCATCTTTTAACGTCTATTGGTATGACACAGCCGGGTATCAAACCCTTGACGTTCTACCACTGGACCATGGAGGCGTAGCTGAATACTGTGACATGACATATTTTGTTAATGGATGAACCTCGTACAATATGAAAGACATGTACTTTTATCACTGCCTAAAGAGTGCACTTCTCCATCGTGTTTGATTTACCCTGCATCTGCCATCTGGCGAGTATGTTTCCTCATCTACGAGGGGTGATTGATAAGTTCTGAGACATATCCACAAAAACTTGAGTCAATTGAGTCCGTCCAAGAAGGCCTATGACATCAGCAACACAAGAAATGATCAAAGATTCTATGAGAAGGTGTAAACTGAGCTTCACATTGCCATATATAGACATGGATATATGCTTAGACATGTATATATACACCCTGTGAAAAGTATCGCATCTCCAAATTAGAAGAGTAATTGCAAGTTCATTTTCAATGTCGAGATTTTCAAATGGTGCACTGTGTGTTCACACATCATCTGCCTGGAGAATGGTAGCCACCTTAACTGCATGACCTTGTGGGTGCGTTTATGCGAGCCGCATGCACTACTAAGGAGTCTCTATAGAGAAATTCATGTTTAATGACAGTTCATGCATCTTTACCGCTATTAATTTTGAATAAAAGTCTGTCTTTGGAACAATTGTAACTGAAATGCCTAAGCGTACTATCCCAGAAAATCAAAGACCACAAATCATTGGCATGCACTAAGCTGGCATGTCATGCCATGTCTGTCTATTGCCACCGTGTTAGACATTAATCATACTGTAATCAGTCATAACTGGACATGTGAGGTACTTTTGACG